ATATGTTTCAAGTGAATTTTGGTATTTTTGAGCAATGATTTTGATATGGATAAGCAATGTACGACTGTGATTGCATTTCTGAGTCTGAGAAGGATATTTTCATGGTGTTTTTATTCCTTTTCAGGTACAATTAGTTTGAATTTCGGGTTGTTGGTGCGCCTACGCCTTACCAGAATCTGCACTTGTGCAGCATAAAAGTTGCTACATTTTAGCAGCCTCGGCACAAACTCTCTGTCTCTACTCAGTTAAAGATGGAGGCGGAAATTGATGCCGGTACACCCTTGGACTACGCTGAATTTCAGATTTTTCCGTCCCAGAACAGGTTAGGTTCTCGCCTTTTGGTAAATTTTGTATTGGATCATAAAAATTTATTCTTTCTGTATATACTAGTGCGTTAGCAAAATTGCAACGAACTTTACAAAACCTTTGATCTTCACCTTAACTAGAACGGGTTTGTGGAGATATGATTCGATGAAAAATTCAAAATGTCCATGAAAGTGATTCCTTTTATTTGTGGTTTGCTTCACTAATGTGTTGGGGGATGGTCTAGGTATGAGGCCCTTGTTTCCAGTGGCAGAGAAGTGGAAAAGTTAGTAGGTGGGGCACTTGAACCGTTGTTGCCACATTTTCCGGAAGTAAGTGAATTGCATTGCAAGGGATCAAATGCTAACCTCACACTCCGACTTCCTAAAAGCCTGCATGGTGCTGCCTGGTTCACGAAATCAACTTTAACCAGGTTTTAAACACTCTAATGTTTCTTTTTTCTTGTCTCTTTATCTTCAGTTTAATTATCCATTTTATTTCCTGATACACAAATTGTTTTGCTTCATCACAGATTCCTGCAAATTACTGGTTCACCAGACGTAATGCATACCATTACTGCTACTAAAGGAGAAATATCTCAGTTGGAAGAAGCCAAAAAGTTTCATGTTTGTTTATATGGCCAGGTTCCTTCTCCCGTCTTTCAAGATTGATGTTTGAAGGCGTATGGTTTAATAAATATTCCGGTATCCGGCAACTAATGTGTGTGATTTTTATCAACAGCCTGAAGCTGAGATTGCATCATCAGATACTTCAAAGTATGTCCTTTTAATTCTTCATTTAAGATTACATTTGAGTTGCATCAGCATGACACTATAGGAATTTGTGCTGTCAGGAACGAACTTTTGCGGGCACTGGACTTGAGGATCACGGCATTAAGAAGGGAATTAACGACCGCTATTGAAAAGGCTTGTCATTCCTCGTTCAACTCTAAAGAGATTTCAAATGTAGCAAACTTTTCTCAACATTTTGGAACAACAGATTTCAGGTAAGGTAGTCACTTAGATTAATAGAAAGGGCACTGGTATTTTAGCTTCTTAGTTGCTCTGAAAGAATCCGTTGTTCGAAGATTTATCTGCTAAATGTTCTTACAAAGTCAGTATTGTGGTGAAAACGCAGGAATACTCTGTTCAAGATTTTAGAACAGTATCAACAAGGCAAGAGTGGTGATCCTCAAAATGATGACAAGTTGGGTAATTTTGGAGATGATAATGTTGAGACAGATGGGAGTGCTCAGATATCTAAGCCAATGAATTTCGCTACACCAGTAAAATATAGTGTTTCGCCTGCAAAAGCTGCCCAGGTTGAGCGACAGAGTTCAACTGAAAGTGGGGAGTCTTCTGAGTCAAGTGACGAGGAGCAAACATCTGCAGAAAGAAGTCGGAGTCTTATGAGAGGTGCCGCACCTAGAAGGTCAGCATCTCCAATGCGGAGGATTCAAATAGGAAGAACTGGGTCACGCAGAGCTGCTGCCTTAACCATTAAGAGCCTCAATTACTTTCCTTCTAGGGAAAAGCCTTTTTCAGAAGAGGGTGAACCTGAACACTCAAACAAGAAATCTGAGAGCAATGCACGAAGGATGAGTGTTCAAGATGCAATTAGTCTTTTCGAAAGCAAACAAAGAGATCAAGCTGCTGCGGATGCTCAAAAAAGGAGCTCGTTAACAAATATCTCTGTGAGTACAAATAAAGCTGTATTAAGAAGATGGAGCTCAGGTTTTGGGGAAACTTCCACCCAAAGTCAATCTGAAATTGCCTCTGGAGACAGTGGTCCAGTGACTTCAAATGATATAAAGAATGGTAAGGTGCCAACATCTTCAGAAGAAATGAAACCAGAGTCTGATCTTTACCCACAGATCAAAGTACTATTGAAGCTCCTAAACCAGCGGTTAACGAAGGAAGATTTGAGAAAAATTTATCTAGTCCAATTGATACTGAAGCAGACTCTACTATAACTCCGGGAGAGAAAAGTAATAAAAAATCAATAGCGTCAATGGAATGGAGTCAAGAAAGGGAAGCAGAATTGAACCAAATGCTGATGAAAATGATGGAAACTAAACCTGTTAAGCCTGTGAAGCCTGTTAAATCTACAAAGCCTCAAGCTACCAGAAATCAAAGCCTTCCTTCTGAACAGAGAGGTGGCTTTTATGACCACTACAAGGAGAAGAGAGATGAAAAACTACGAGGTGAGAATTCTAGAAGGCGAGCAGAGAAAGAAGCACAATTTAAAGCAATGCAGCGAATTCTTGATGAAAGGAAAGCCGAAATGTCCACTGCAAAGGCGAATGATATTGATAAAAAAGGTGCTACGCAGAAGCCCCAAAAATCAGTTGGAAAAGTATCTCAACCTGCAAATCCTAGAAAGGAAAATGCAAAGCCTTCTGTTACAAAGAAGGCTTCACCTAGAACATCACCTATGCCTGCTACACGCAAGTCGTGGCCATCAACACCAACACCGAGAGCCACAGGGGCATCGCCAGCTAGAACTCCTGTTGGGGTTACCAGCACTACCCCGACCCGTCAAAAACCCAAGCCAACACCACCCGGTGCTAAAGTGGAAAGACCCCCACAGCGACAGAGGAATGTGAAGGAATCTGTGATTACTAAAGACAGGAGCTCGAAGGGAGTAAATGAGAAGCAGCAGCAAGCAGTGAAAAAGAGTGGTAAAACAACAAAACCTAAAGTAGTGACAACCTCTGGTGATTATTCTGATATAATTCCAGCAAAGCACAACAAGGTGACCAAGAAAAGCAGTGTAGTGCCAGTGGAATCAAAACCATTTCTTCGGAAGGGTACTCGAACGAGCCCAGGTCTTGTTCCTGTCAGTTAACAAGACAAGAACTTCTCCTCAATCGGAGGAATCTTTGAGAAACAGCACAAATATTATTGAAACTCAAGAGGATGAGGTGATTGGTAGCGCTTTTGATCCTGTGAGTCAGCATCAAGAGCCAGATATTGTGTCAGTCGGCCTTTCAAATGATGCTGTGGAACCAGAAGCTCTGGTAAATGATAGCCTGATGTGTAGTGAGACACAACATGTTGACCAAGTTTCTCCTGATTGTAATGATGACTTGAAAAATGTTGCAGAATCGTCATTGCAAGTTCAAGCTGAAGAAGAATCAACCATCTCCCCAAGTGCTTGGGTGGAAATAGAGGAGCATCAGGCCATGTCCCCATGTAACAACGACTCATCTCAAGTAACCACTTCAGCCAATGTTGCACCAGCTGGACTGTCAAGTCCCCGTGTCCGCCATTCTTTATCCCAGATGCTGCAAGAAGAAAGTAACGAACCAGATAATATTGAGTGGGGAAATGCTGAAAATCCTCCTGCTATTGTGTTCCAAAAGGATCCACCAAAAGGATTGAAGAGGCTCTTAAAATTTGCTCGGAAGAGCAAGGGAGATGCCAATTCGACGGGTTGGTCTAGTCCGTCAGTTTTCTCTGAAGGAGAGGATGATGCTGACAGTGTACTCAGAAAGTCTTCGGTTCATACAAGGAAGTATGAACCGTACTCTAGTAAGTTTCCTGCCTTCATTAGAATTCCGTCCTGCCTTTGTCTTTTTTCTTTTGCTCCTTTCCTCCCTTCCTCGCTAACCCTTGCTTTAATTTGTTGTGAAAGCAGATGGTTGACAAAAGCAGATTGTATTTCGTATTGTAGTAGAGAAAAGTTAGATGATTGGATGTTCTTTTTTTGCTTATGTTATTAATCATTTTGGATTTGTGCATGCAGCTCAATCAAATATTAGCAGATTTGACGGGCAGAGTTCACATAAGTCACAAAAGAACCGCGATGCAGCTGCAGGACCTGCAACTAAAGGTTGTCTTTCCACGTGACGAGCAACACAGTATCGTTTTCTATGATTTATTTATTTTCCTGCAAATTTTTTCTACACCTGCATACAGAATTTCTACGCGCCATTTCTAATTCGCTTGATTAAGATTCCAATACTGTCTACTATCTGTGTTTCAGCCGCAACAAGGTCATTCTTCTCTCTTTCAGCGTTTAGGGGCAGCAAACCAAATGAGATGAAGTTTCGCTAATGCTGGAGACTCATGTAGAGTACTGGAGTCGGATTCTTCGAAACTTTCTATTCTTCCTTTACCGTCGTTATAGCATGCATGATGCATTCATCCACATGCAGAGACAAGGGACCGTCCCTATACTTCTGGCATTTCTTTTTTCTTCTTTCCTGTCGTAAAACTGTGTTTCCGGGTCTTTTGTACATGCAATATATGCCCTTGTTCTGTTCTTTTCAGAGATTTAAACAGACCCCTGTTCATAACCCTTATGCTTAGGATGTCAAGCAACTACAGATCGATACATGTCATGTCGAGTCAAGTCGATTTTATTTATTCTAGGACAAAGTTGCTTCATAATGTATCCAGTTTCAAGTCTGTAAACTTTGCATATATTGGCATCAATACGAATGCTTTGTGACAGAGAATGCCTCTAAATAACATAGGAACATGCTAACTCCGTCATCACTATTTTGCTTGCTCCACGAGCATTTCAAAGTTGCATAGCAATTGGGTTTTCTCGTAAAAAAGAGAGGTGTCACGCGAATTAGTACGAAAAAGAGAGAGACAAGTACTGCGAAGAAGGGGAGAGAGAAGAGAGAGAACAAAAAATAGATCCAGGGATAATTTTTTCTATTTTTTAATTTTTAAGAAAACATCGACGATATGAAGGATATTTTATTGATAACGAAAAAAAGTTACACTTAGTCGGGGGGGGGGACATAAACCTTACCCCTCATAATGCCAAGAAAAAGGAGAAAAACAACTTTGAGTAAGAAGGGAGGACATAAACCTTACCCTCTAGAAACGAAAACAAAAATTGATACAAGGGAGGGGGAGACATGAAACCTAACTCCTCTAAGGCTAAACCTGAAAGAAAAATACAATGAAACAAGAGGATGAAATTTGACAAAATCATACAACAAACTTACTCAAAGTACAAAACAAAGCTAAACATATTCAACAATTACATGATACATTTTAAGCACTATCTTATTCAGCAACTGTGAAAGAAGAATGCTCCATGGCATGTTTACCAGCAAAGAACCAAGCACAATCCAAAACCCCGTGAAGAATCCAACTCCCAAGCTCACGTAGAACCACTCATCTTCGAGTAAACGGTATCCTCCTCCTCCGTCTTGCTCAACTGTTGGTGGCGGTATCACCCCATTTGCGCTGCAATTCTTGTTGAGTGGAGCTCCGCATAGTTCGTTGCCGACGAAGCTAGACTGATCAAGGCTTTGCAGCTGAGTGCTTTCCGGAATTCGTCCTGTCAAATTGTTGTAGGACAAGTTTAAGTGACTCAGAAATGTCAAATTCGTCATGCTTGGAGGAATTTCACCATGAAGTTGGTTCATGGAAAAATCGAGAGACTCTAACCGTTCCATATTACCAATCTTTGAAGGAATTCTTCCGGTGAAGCGATTATTCGATAAATTGAGTGACTGCAATGCTAGGAGGTCGGTAAGTTCTTCAGGGATCTCTCCATACATAAAGTTGCATGAAAGATCCATGCTCTTTACAAATTTCAAGAGGTTGGTATATTCCACTTCAATCCCTTTCGTTACCACTATAGAAGCCTCAACAGAATTACTGACTGTAAACGTCATTGACGAAAATGATTCTGACAAAGTAGCCATGGCGCTCAAATTGTGGAAGCATCTCGGTATCGCTCCAGAGAGTTTATTACGTGCAAGGTCCAATATCTGGAGACTTTTCAAGTAACAAATTTCAGAAGGAATGTCTCCTTCAAACTCATTCGAACGAAGGTTAAGAACATTCAACCTTGAAAGGGTTTTACCCATCCATATTGGTATGCTTCCGACAAACCCATTTCGACCAAGGTCAACAACTGACAAACTGGTACAGTTTCGTAGGGAATGTGGTAATTCTCCGTACATGTGATTATTGCGCAAGTGCAGCGATACCAACTGTTGCAAGTATCCTATGGACGTTGGGACATTCCCAGTTAGGTAATTGTTTTCCATATTTAGGAATCCCAAGTATTGCCAACTCATCCAACAGTCGGGTACTTTTCCAGTAAGAAGATTGTTCCCGAGATGAAGAATAGAAAGTTGCTTTGGTTCTTCCGGCCTATCACAAAAGAAGTGGAAAACAGAACCAGAAAATGATGAATTGGAAAGATCTAGCCAAGCTAATGAGGGGGGAACCATAGGCAATCCACCAGTGAATTGGTTAGAACCAAGATCAACTACTGATTCAGGAGCAGCCACTATATTTTGAATTTCCCCGTACAATTGATTGTGAGAGAGATTCAGATAACCTAATTGGAATGTTAAGTTCCAAAACCAAGTTGGAATGGTACTTGAAAATCCTACACCAGATAAGCTTAGATCTGTTAACTGCGTTTGTGTCTGAAGCCACATTGGCCATTCAGATCCCAGATGCCATGAATCCAATCGTAAACTTTCAAGCTGAAAAGGAGGAAGCCAATCTCGACTGGTTTTCAAAGTAAATGAGTTTCCTTTTGCAATGAAATGCTTCAATTTTGTAAGGTTACTAAAAGAAACTTCCGACACCACACCTTTGAACGAATTATAAGATATATCCAAATATGCTAGCAATTTGAGTTTACCAATAACTTCTATGAAAGTTCCATTAAATTGATTTCCAGATATGTCTAGTTCTACTAAGCTTGACAGGTTTCCAAGGGACATTGGAATGGGGCCTGATATTGAATTATCCGAAAGATCAAAGTGCCTTAAACTTTTCAGGTTTGCAATGGAACTCGATATTTCACCACGTAAGGCATTGCGAGAAAGAAGTAAGGACTCGAGATTGTTCAAGCTATACAACCATTTAGGTACGGTAGAATTGAAGTCGTTCCACCTGAGATTAAGAACTTTAAGACAAGTCATATTCTGAATACTACTTGGAAGTTGTCCTGTAAGTTGATTGGCTTCTAGACTCAATTCAAGGAATTTTTGGTTAAACCACCATTTGGGAATTGGATCAAGACTAATAGAATTGAAAGACAAATCAATTTCCCTCAAAGATGTGATATTCTTTGAAATGCTAGGAATTGGACCTTGGAAACCACAATCACTGAGACGAAGAGAAACTAGATTTTTAAGACTGAAAACCCACCTCAGCATCAAAGAATTAAAACTGTTTCCAGAGAGATCAAGGACGACCAGGGAAGTAAAATTTGTGGTGGGTAGGGGGGTTATTTGATGAAGTTGACAATAGGACATATCTAACTCTACCAAAGAAGGGAGCATGTTTGTAACTTGCAACCAGTCAGATGCTTTGCTAAGATTTACAGAACTCAAGTCCAAGTGTTTCAGCAGATAAAGACCAGAAATCCACCGAAGGTTTTCAACCTTCAGATTATAATTACTGAGATTGAGATAGCGTAGACTGGAGAGATTTCCTAGTTTATGAGGAATTACTCCATCAAACCATGAGTATCCAAGATTAAGGTGTGTTAAACTTGTCATAGAACCAAAGAAACTGGGAATTTGTGTTGTACTGAAATCATTGTTACTCAAGTCCAAGTAGTTGAGATGCTTTAAACTGAGCAAAGAAGGATTTATCTTACCACTGAAGAAAGAGTTGAAATCCCAATCAGAGTGGGAACTATTAAGGTGCAGCTCGTGGATGTGGCCGGTTATGTGATCACAGACAACTCCTGTCCAACTGCAACAGTCTGAACCTTCTTTTGCAACCCACGACGAAAGCCGATTGGTAGGGTCCTCGAGATCTTGCTTGAATATCAGAAGTGCTTGTCTTTCGCCGTCTTTGCAAAGCGGAGGCCAATCGGGAATTCCATTGCATAAACCAATACTGAAAGTAATGGTTGCAATAGCTAGAACCTTGATTAGTAGTAAAACAACTCTCATGCTTCTGTCCATAAAGTTAGTGTATGAAGTAGGTGATGTGTATGAGCAATGAACGATCCAGAGTTGTGACTATATATATACTTGGCAGCCTCACTTTTTTCTAAACCATTCACTACGGCATGAGCAGTTTTTCTAACGGTAATGTTAGGGAGACTAAAGTTATGAACAAAGTTTTGAAAACGAAAGTACATGGAAGTTAATGATTGGTGAGTCACTTAAACGTTGATAAACATGTTCATTCCTATTGGTGACACATCATTTAATTTGCAAATTTAATCTTCAAATTTAATCATTTTCTAGACCATCCTATACGGCATGAGAACTTTTTCTAAACCATCCTCTACGGCATGAGACCGCATTTTCTAAACCAATGCACATCAATGCGAGTAGCAGTCGGACACTCTTGGAATCTTTGACAAAAGTTTCATAGATTATACGATGGAATAATTACCTTCTTTGAATGGTCGGCCCTTCAAATACGTTGTATTAATAAAGGCGAGAAATTAATTTCTTTGATTGATGTGATACTTTTGGGATATAATATTCCTTTCTAAACTGGGCGTCAAACAGAAAACTGTGCAAGTAAAAAGGGTAATACATTTTACTTCTTTAGATTTTGGTACAATTACGACCTCATACAACATTTTTATAACATTTCAATGTCATACATTTTGCTTATAACTAGAAAATGTGCCCACGGTTTGCTGCGGGTGTGGACTGTGTTAGTCGCAATAGGCGTGAATAATTTTCACACAAGACAACTAAAAAGACGTCGTAATACCTAAGAACCAATGAAGTCAAACTTTGCTTGCCATATATGGATAGCTATAAGAAACATTCATTTGTAGATCGTATTGTGTCATCAATATACTAGTTTCAAGTAATCAGCCTACTATATGGAGGAAAAACATAGAAAAAGGAAAGTAGAAAAGCAGAAGACATAATACTTGAGAATCTAGTAGGAATAGTAAGTTTATGAAAAAAATGCTAAACCGCCTTACAAATTCAATCATTAAACGTTATATTGTAACCCAAGACAAAGACAATATATAGTTTGTTTACAAATCAAAACGAAGTGCTACTATAATCCGCAACATCTATGAATCATTTCCACATAAAGATACTCAAATTTGACGGCACATCGAATAAACAAAATGCTTCTTAATGTGGTCTTCCAAGAAATGAATGCAGCTCCAAAACAACTCAGAAAACACCTTAGAAATGTTTATCACCCCAATCTTACTAAATAGAAGCATAAATGGACAGGATAGCTCCCTAATTTTGTAATAGAAACTCAAACAAAGAATATCAGGCTCCAAAGGCTTTGACTTTTCCTTGGCATAAATCTGTACATTGCAAGTTTAATTCCAACGAAAAAAATACGCGTGTAAAGTAAAAGGCATCAACGTAAATGTACTACTTTACAATCATCTCAAGTTGCTGACAAAATGCCTAAAATATTCACAAATCAAAGATTTTCATAAACATAGTACACCTCACCAAAACAATAACCGAGGTTGTGGTATTTGAATCATGCAGGCAGATGCTTTGCAAGGCTGCCTTCAATATCATCTATTAAACCGTTCAAAATCAGTTCATGTGGAATTGGGGGAAAGAAAAGGTTCAAAACTCTAATCATCCAAATAGAACCTATTATGTTTAAAATGGTTCTTGAATATGGTCAGCAGCGGTATTTACAAAGAAACACGATGTTAACTCTCATGTATACGTTCAACAATTAGATTCGATTGAATACCATTTTCTTGGGAAGTAGAGCTGGGTGATGATTCCCTCCTCGTTTGGCATCTTGTTGATTAACATTATAACCTAGAAACCAAACTATAACAAACACAGAAACATTTACACTGAATAGGCAAGGATTTTAAAAATTCGGAATGTAATGAAGAGAGGAAAACATGCTTATATGGCTAACAAGATCAAGGAAATTGCAAAAAACAACAAATGGGGAAAATTACAAAACATCGGTATTTCCTAAAACTCCACGTTTTCAATTCAAATTTTTCTGGGCATACAAAATGAAGCTTATGGAATGAAGAGTAGAATTATTACCTTTGCCAGACCCAAAGTGGTTGCAAAAACTTGAAAAACCACATGCCAATCCTAACAAAATTGAATCGACAAACGAAAGGAAACCCATTAAATCCACATTCCAATTCAACCAAAATTCAAACTTCACCTCAATTTAGATCAACAGAAAGAGAAACAGGGGAAAACCCAAATGCAACAGGATAGAAAAACAGGGGAGAGAGAGAGAGAGAGAGAGCGATTACAATGAGTGAGTCGGCAAAATTTGAAAGCTTCGGTGAACTCACGGCTCCCCTTCGACTCAATGCATCAATAGGATAGAAGATTCTGGAAATAAAAAAATTACTGAATGGCCATAAACTCAATTAAATAAAATTCTCAGAATTTCGTATAATATCCATGAACGAATGCTCACAAAAGATGAATAACATATAAATATAAAGTTATAAACATACAAAAAAAATGAAAAATACCTCAACAGAACAGATGGGCAATAGTTATAAACTATTGGCCGGGAAATAGTTGACAAACCACAACCCCATGTCCATGATGTTGACACTATCGATGTCATCACCTGAAAGGGTATGTATTATACGTTTGTTAATTTCTACCACTAAAATCAAAATCAAATACCAACATACTTCCTCATGTGTTATGTTTTGCGAAAATTCAAATGAAAATGTAAAAAAAAAAAATAAAAAAAATTATACAATAGCAACTCTTCATAGAATTCTTCCTCTATCTCCTCCACTTGTTGACCATGATGTCTGCTTCCATATATTGAGCTCAATTCTTCAGAGCTTGTTGAGAAACTAAACCTTTGATGTGGAGGCAGTCCAGCAATAGCATAAGCAACAGCTGCAGCAGCCACATCTTGCGCGGGAACCTGTTTGAGAAGGTAAACAACGCATGAATACATTTAGGACAGAAAATAAACGTTTATTTTAACCCTGTACCAATCAGCTAAATTTCGCAGTAAGCACAACATTTTCATTCCCTACTTAACAGTGAACTAACTACGACTGCCAGATTAATAAGCATTGTTCTCAAAATGACACTTACTAAACTTTACCTTCTTAATTAACATGAAACCGCAGATAATCTACCAAACGAAACTGTTATTCAGTATATAAAGCAAAATACACATGCTTGGAACAAACATTTCAAATTATATGATCTAATTACACAATTTCAACTCGCTTTTACTCCGAAACAATCGACTTTCACACAACTAAACACGAAATGCATCGAATTGGAGGGCTTAAAGCTGCATTACGTGCAAAAACTGAAATTTCAATCACCTTGGGGTGATCAGAAGCAGAAGGAAGAAGGCCGAGCGACCTGACACACCTAATGGAGCTCAGAATTTTCTCGCCAACCTTTGACAAATCCATCGCACCACCTTGGAACAGCAAAAAGGGGACCAAGAACGAAATCCCAGAGCTCTCAGTGCCCTCGCTCAAATTGAACACATGCGGATTCGCCAGAACGCTGCCGAAGGGAGATAGATTCAGCTGCATTTCAATTCGAACCATTGAAAATGACTAACCCAATTTCCGATCACTTAGAATTAGATCGAGAGAGAGAGAGAGAGTATACTGTCTAGATAAAATAAGATAAAAAATCAAGCAATAACGATTTTCCATCAGAGCAACCAGGAAGAGAATAAATTCCACTAAAATCCCCAAGAGCAGAGAAAGAACTCACCGAAATTGAATCGAATGGAGAGAACCAACCACCGGGGCGGGAGATGAGGAAAGTGGCAAGCTGAGGAAAGTGGCGAAGTATGAGTGAGTTTTGGACTGTGGGTTTCGGAATTCTCGTTCAGGAGAAAGGGGGAGGATCCTAGGGTTGGGGAAGGCAAAGAGCAGGGAGAAATAAGGAGGAGCCCTCCGGATACCCAAAAAAGCAAACGACTTCTAGGGTTCTTCGCATAAAATATATATATATATATATATATATTTTTTTTTTTGAACACCAGATACCATGTCATAAAAGGCCTACAAAGAGGCAAACAAACATACAATTAACAAGCAGTGACAAGGGGTAAACTACAAAGACCCCTCCACCAAGTAGAGGAGTCACCCCGGCACCACCAAAACAAATTAATGAGGACAAGGTAGCCCGTCATTATTCAATACAAAGACCAACGAAGATGGGGGCCTAACGACCCAAACGACATCACTCATCTCAGTAAAACTACCAGATGCAATCTTGTGAGCCACGCCATTAGCAGAACGGGGCACCCAAGACCATCGGCAATCAAGGAACTTCCCCCCCAGCTGTTTAACCCGAGCCAGCACCGGGAATGCCTCCCAACTACCCCTAGACAGCGAGCTAGATAAACAATTAATCGCTTCAAGGGAGTCCGACTCAAGAATTACATACCTTACATCCAATTCTTCACCGAGCTGGCACCCGTGCAACAACGCATAAGCCTCCGCTGCAGCAGCAGAAGGAGCAGATATAGCATACCGCGCTGCAGCCACGAATTTTCTCTCCATGTCCCGCGCAATCAATCCAACAAATCCCATCTTTGAGGCCTTGGGTTACTGAAAGTTTAAACTAAAACATTGTCTTGATTTGAAATTCATCAAGGGCAATAAATTTTATATATACTAAAACTCAAACTGATGTGGTACTGTTCTAGAGCAGTAAAATGGCAAAAATGCCCTTACAATGTTGTCATGGCTGCCTTTTGCTTAGGCTTCTCTACAGTAAAAATGCATTTTTGCCCTTCCACTCCACCTGTCGACCATCGCAGCGTCTTCTGGGCATCTTCCCTTTCTTTTCACTATTTTTCCTTCTGTTGCTTTTCACTTTTCCTCTAAGTTGAGTTCGATTGTTTTGGTTTCTGTGGTTTTGCTTTTCACTTCTTTTCCTCTCCCCTTTTCTCTGTTGTTCTGTCTCCCAGAAACTCTTCGTTCTCCATTTGTCGTTATCATCTAACTCCAAATTAGCTGCTCTTCGTCAACTCCATCTACTTTAATTTTCCTGCATAGCTTTCTCTCTAAAGCTCAAAATTCTTGGCCAAACAGAACAGCGAACTTCCCGATGGTCACCAGCTCCAGTTCAAGGTCGAGAAGCACTCAGTCAATGAAATCCCCGACGCCAAGATTTCGTAAGGTCTCAATATCGAACTGGTTTAATTTTTGTGTACTTGATTTAAATTTTTTTGGTGATTTGCTTTTGGCTGTCTGATCTGGTCTGATTTTTGCTTTCAGGAAACGTTGGTCTTCGAATATTGGGGTTTTTGTCTGCAAGCTTGCAAGGCTGCAAGCCCTTTGTGATCAAGTATGTATTTTTTTCTTTGATTAAATGTTTTTGTTTTCAGTTTTGTAAGCATTCATCTTTTACTAATTGTCTAAGAGCTTCCATGGGATCTGCCCTATGTTGTTACTTCGCGGTTACCTCTGTTGGGGTTGAAAAAACCACAAACGCATTGTAAGTCTGAAAACTAATCAAAAGGTTTTAGAAATTAAAAATTTTTTTTTATCGTAAAGGTTTTTAAAAATTCGGATCATGTTTGCATTTTTATCCAATCTCATGCTCTAGCAATGCTTATAAAGATGACTGTTAGATTATCAAAGGACTCTGGAATGGTAGAAAACGCTAAAGGTCTGCAAGAATTAGTTTTATTTGTTTTGTTATAGGAATTCAAATAATGATAAAAATTCTAACATTTTGTTCCAGAAGTTGCAATTTAATCCTACATCGACAAATTTCTCTGATGGCCATTGACTAGAGGTTGACATTCTGATTCAATGGCTAGATTGGCAACAAATTTATTGGGAAATGCATCTTCAAAGGTATGCCTCTGGAGCAATTTTAAGGGTAGGAATTTTTAATTTTTTGTGAAATGAATGTTTTGTCGTGGAAGGAGTTTATAATAGATTGGTTGGACAAGTACATGGTGTTTGTTTGGTTGAATGTAGAAAGGAATTGGAAGAATTATGAAAGTTCTTGCATTTTGTTGCAGGAGTTGGAACTTCAACGTTGCATGGAGGAAATTGTCATAAGTTCGGTGGCCAGAGCTTGACGTTGGCATGACAACAAATTTACTCGCAAATGCATATTCAAAAGTAGCTTTTTTGTTGTTTCTTGGTGAAAGATTGATTAGCGATGATTGCTATTGTTTATTCATGGTTGATTGAGCATTTTTGTTATATGAAACCGTAAAGAACAGTTGCCTCGATGCTAAGTTTTTTTTATATTTCTTGATGCATTTCTATTGATCAGGTATAGATGGACTGGTCAATACGAAGCGCATCTGTGGGACAATAGTTGCAACAAAGAAGGGTAGAGCAGGAAGGCAAGCAAGGTTTGTTAAGAAAACACAATGATGTTTTTAATTACAAGAAATATGCATTTTTTTCCAGTCAAATTCTGCTTTTGTTCTGACTATTTTCCATACTATATGCTGATTCTATTTTTTAATTTTTGGTTTTTCTTTGATTAGCTGGGGAATTACAATCAAATGATGAATCTTCAGTTTACTTGGGTAAGCATTTTTTGTCATATAATTTGGCTTACCATTTTAACTGTCAAACCATGTTGTTTTAGTTCATGCTACTAATCATGCATTCAATAGATTTGTATATACAAGAGCGTTTAAATGCTAATTGATTACTAACATAATGCGGTCTTTACAGGAAAAGCAATGGATTCTCAAGAGGGGCTTGAATGTACAGAAGAATTACAAGGTCTTAATAGCCATCATAATTTTATATAATAATTTAGATAAAATATCGATGAGAAATAATATAAATACCAAATAAAAATCTCTAAAATCTCTTTGTTTTGTTTCTTCTCTGTGTAGCAGACGTCATCAATATGGAAGATGGCTAGCCAGGATTGGAAATGTTGCTGTAAATAAGGATCTCTTGGGACATTCAATGAGTGATTTTTCAAACTTTATTTGCTTTTTGTATCTAAAAAATTTCCTAATATTTTTAATATAATCAGTGAAACCACGATTTCATGTACTAGCTAGCTACTAGGATGCTTGGTTTTTATATGATTCTGATTATTTGAGGTATCTGAATAAAGTTTTGTTCAAAGTAGGAAAGTCAATTTAAACTCAACCTTCTTTACAAGCTTGAGGAGAGATTTTAGTCTTATAATGATTAATAATAAGATACAATTAGGGTAATACATGTACTGCACATATTGCTAACTATGCTAGACCAAAAGTATCATCATTACTGCTTAAACATACCAATCAGTTTACATTCTGTGAATGCATATGATGACTGAGGGGTTTAACCCTCAATTGCAATCTCATCCTGACTGATGTGTGTAATTTTGTGTTTACACCATACTAATCAATATTTTTTTCATATGTTTAATCAAACTCTTATTTAATGTACATTTCGCATACACAAACGGGCAAAAACTTCTTGACATCCTGTAAAATTGCCAGAAAAAGGTCATTTCCAACTCATGCAAAACCAGACTTATTTCCCGCAGAAAAACACTAGGTAAACACAATCTATCCTTATTTTGTTCATATATAATTCTAGTTGTGATACAATTTTTTTCATGTTTTTCCAAAAAAATCCTTTTCTTTTCCCTTTCCTAGGGTACCTCCTTTAAACTACTTTTCCATTCTCTTCGGTCAAAGAGATGTCTTTTGCCAGTTCTGAACAAAGGTCATTCTAACTGTATAATTTTTTTTACCAATGGTCCAAATCTTAAACTATTGCATGCTCATGTTTGCCGATCTTTAGACCAATTTCACAGTGATGTAGAAGATATCTCCGAAGAAAATGCGCAGGACTTTGACCGAGTTCCTATCAAGCTATTGAAAAAAAGTCATCTCCAACTGCTGCAAAAACAGATTCCGGTTCTTCCAAAAAAGACTAGGTAACTACTCTTTATACTTGCTTTTTGTACAAGTTTTAATTTATCTGTACACAAATTCAACAAATCTATTCTCATTTTCCAATTTTTTAAGAAGCTGTCTATCAAAATGACTACAGTCGAAATTTAAGATTCTTAGCACATGCTTTGTTTTGAAGCTGTCTATCAAACTAACTACTCTTTATAGTTGCCAAATGTTGTTATCTCATTGTCTTTACACAGTTTATTTAATCAGTTTTTTAGTATAAACAGTGATGTCCTTGATTAAATAATAATGTCAAACAAAATTAAGAGAAAAATATAACCGCCCAATAAGAATGACTTACCGAATTACATCACAATAACAAAAGGTAAAGAATAAATAAAATGGCAAGTAAATGGTTTATATCAACTGATTGAGCACCTACTTCATATGGGAAGAAGAGGTCACAAAGGCAAAACAGGGAACAACAACTACTTCATATGGGAATCAGAGGTTAGTTTAATTGTAATTATTTTTTTTTATTTGGTCAAATTCGAAGTTGGTTGGCTTGCATCTAATTTGGGGTCTTTGCTTGCCAGGTTGAAGTCACTGGTTTTTATTAATGCTGGTGATCGAAGCAATCCAAGTTAATGTGAAAACGATATCATATGTTGTTATGGTGAGAACTGATTTTAAATTATGCAATTGAATACTTTTTTATACCGCTTTTGTGATCATTTACTGAGAATTTGTTAATTGTTTTAATATAGAGAGGTAGGATATTCTACTTTAATTTCTCAGCTTTAGAGATTGCGAATGGCTACATTCAGTTCTCATCTTTAGAGATTGTTGGATTTGCTATTTGCCAAATAGTTTATGGATTTTCATATTAAAAAAGCGCGTCAATTGTTGAGGCAGTAATCAATTAGATGTGATAAAGTGATGTGTTTTATAGACGTTAAACACATGTTTTTTCACATAATGTCTAATCCCGCAGCAACGCGCGGGCACATTTTCTAGTTATATCAAAACCCAAACTCGGCTGCACTGTTCATAACAGTGCAGCGGACGAAAATGCCCCCTCCAATTGGTCTTCAGCTTTTTTTTTTACAGTAAAATGGCGGTTTTGTTGAACAGTACAGCGGACGAAAATGCCCCCTCCAATTGGTCTTCAGCTTTTTTTTTCACAGTAAAATGGCGGTTTTGTCCTCCCAGACCACCCGTCTCTCATCAGTGTGCCTCTAGGTTCGATCTTCTTTTTCTGTTCCTTGCTTGGCACGCGTCCATCATCGCTGCCGTTTCTGTTTCAGTTCTCTGCTTTTTCTTTCTTTGCTTTCCATTTCTCTTCTCTCTCTCACCCTCTTCTCAGTGTTTTGCAAGCTTTTCTCCCTTTGTCTTTGTCGCCATGGTCTCCATCGCTCTCAAGCTTTTCTCCCTTTCTATTTGTCGCCATAGTCTCCATCGCTCTCAAACTTGCGTTTCTATCCCTGTCAAATCTTGGCTCACTGGAAAAATCTGAAGTAGTTTAAGCTTCTTCAGCTTTTTGATTTGGATTGAAGATGATTTTAAGCCAAAAAGGTTAACGTTTTCTGGTAAGTTCTTTGAATCATATATCTCGGAGTTCTTTTTTTTTTTTTTTTTTTTTTTTCCAAATCTATGGGTTGTGTTTTCTTCAATTTTAAAATATTAAAAATTGAATCTTTTTTTTTTTTTTGGGTAATATTTTTCATTAGATTATGCTATGGGTTCTGATGAGGCTTTGAATTGGGTTTGAGAGTTTTGATTTAATGAGAGAGATAAGGAGTATACACGGAGACAGGGAGTTAGGTCATTTGAAGAAATGGAGATTAGGGTGAGAGAAAAACGGGAGAGAAGGGGTAGCAGATTAACTTTTGATTTTATAATTTTGGGGGTTTTGTGTTTAAATTTTGCGTTTGTAATTTTGGGGTTTTGTGTGCGCGCTTGGATACGATTTAGTTTTCAATTTCAGGAAACGGTGGTGTTCAATTTTGGGGCTTTCATGTGCAACCTTGGAACCACTTTGTGCTCAAGGTATATAAAAGGTATGAAACCCCTGGCGTTTGCTGATGAGTTTTTTTTACTTTCTTAGTATGGCCTTTAAATTTTTTGGTAGTTTCTGTAGATATAGCCTACAAATGTTGACCCGAAGTTTGGACATAATCATTACTTCCTATTACAATTTATTAACGTTAATTCAATTAACAAAAGTTGATTGGAATCTGACAATGATCTAGATATTTGCACGGGTGAGAGAATCTCGCTGACATTTTTCGATATTTAGATGGGATTTGTGTATGAATTTTGTTTTTGTAATTTTGGGTTTTGTTTATATTGTTAGATTCGTTGTCTGGGCGTATCATTTGCTTCTGTTTTTCGTTTCAGGAGATGTTACTCTTCGTTTTTTGGGGCTTTTGTGTGAAGCTTTCGAAGCCCTTTGTGCTCAAGGTAAATAATTTTGGTTTTTTCCTTTGAGGCTTTTGTGGAACAATTTTTTTTGTTTTTGTAATATTGTGATAGTTTTATTTTGTATGTTGTGAAAGTTGATTGTTTGAGAAACTGAGTAACTGTGTATTTGTTTGTAGTTATGGTATGAGACGTGATATAAATTGAACAGGGTGAGATAAGGTATTTAGGTATCACAACAATTGATCGTGAAAAACTATTAACAGACTACATTTGAAACATTCATTCATTTATGTTATATGTGGTGGTTCCAAGCTTGAGTTCTTTTTCCTTGCAGCCTTCAAATACGGGTCTATTCATTCTGGTAATGCTACAAATGGATAAATCACATCAGAGCGTCTGCTACCCCTTTGGTACTTGATTTCATGGATTCATCTATGTGCTATCTCCATAACTATTATCTGTCTGCTGCCTATTACTATGGAGGTAAAACTTATGGGTGAAGTCTTTGCTTTAGATTGGTTTATTTATGGATTGTCAGATTCTTCTTTAAATTCATGTATATTTTTTATATCAAAATTCATGTGTGTGATATGAATGGTTTTGTGAATTTCTTTTAGGCTATGATGAGACTAGCAACAACTGGGACGACTACTTGAGATATGTAAATCCTGAGGGAGTATAAATGATTTCTGTAAGTTCCTCTTCCGACTTCACAATTGTGAACTGGGTAGTCATTACAAGCTTCCAGTGATAGTTGTATAACGCTTCGAAGGCAGCTCTCTAAAATTTAAATTATCTTTCTGAGTTTTCTTTTCTTCTAATTACATAAAATTGATATTTTTTATGTAGTTATATATTTGTCATATGCTCTGGTATATCGATTTCTTTTTTTCTCAAAATTTTTGCTTCGTTTTATATAATGCATAGAAAGGAGGAACGCCCAAACTGGAGGTCAGTCAAGCATGACATCCTTTCTATGGACCTGAGGTCAGTCAAACATGTGTTATATGTGTATAGGTAGAGTTTCCATTGCTTGATTCTCCTCTGCTTATATCACTTTATTGGGTGCCAATTTTAGGGGAAATTAGGAGACATGGAAATTGTTGCCAAATGTGAGGACATAAAGTTGTCTATTTGCAAAATTACGTTGAAGTGGCACAAGGACCCTAAGTTGGTATGTTCAAGTAGATTACCTGATCTCCTTAGTTGGGTTTAGGTTTAATGCTCAGTGGTATGTTGTGCTTCCGCTTCTTTTTAATTATCGATGATATGCAGAGATTGCAAATGAAAAGATTGTATTTGCTGTTTTGATGCATTGTTGAGCCAGAGACGCAAAAGATTCTAGTAATAACTATCCCTTAAACTACCACGTTACCCAAAATTCTTTTATCAGCAACCTAGAAAACCACTAAACAACCACCATTTCAACAAATCTCACAGAAAACTCAAGAAAGAACAATGCAAAGAATAATAATAAAATATTGAAAGACAGAATTTACCTGAATGTTCACGATGAAGAAGAATTCTCGCCTATCATGCTCCGCATAGTTCTATAGAACAAAAAATATGAGTCTCGCTTTAATCACCATTTCTTAGCAACTATTCAGTAAAGGATCAAACAATCATGCCATAAAACAAATTTGAGAAAAAAAGGGAACTAAATTAGGTTGAGCAGGGTGAATAATTGAAGTGACTTTGAGGCATTTAAGGTACGATTTTTGTTTAGTGTTGTCAGCCCATATTTGTTACATAATTTTGTTGTGCTACATATTATCCAAATAGCTGATATGTAATATTTTAATACAATAGCAACACATTGCTTACAACAAAAAAAGATAAATTAGACAAATATACAGGTACACCATCATGTAATTTAAAATCAATGAAGTGCGAATGAAATGAATTGAATCGAATTTATTTGATATTGCGATGTATTGTTCTTGAGATGTTTGGTGAGATTAGGAGTGATTGATTTGGTTTGTGAGTTTTATAGATCTGCATTTCAACTGCCGAAATTTCTAGTATATGAAATAAAATGCTCAAGTTTCAGCTGAAATTCGATCGAAAAAGAAATATGTTTCAAGTGAATTTTGGTATTTTTGAGCAATGATTTTGATATGGATAGCAATGTACGACTGTGATTGCATTTCTGAGTCTGAAGGATATTTTCATGGTGTTTTTATTCCTTTTCAAATACAATTAGTTTGAACAAGCAGTGAAGCCCACGTGATATTACGGGTTTCAAAACTGTCTTAAACGTGTAAAAAGTAGGGCATATATACATGAGAAAATATGGGCCAAAGAGTAGGGTTATATACATATATTACATGAGAAAATTGAGAATGCTGATATGGCACAGTTAGAGTGTGCTATTTACATTCTTATATTACATGACAAAAAGTAGTACAGTTATTTAAAACAAAGACACTGGCTTATCACTTGCAGCCATGTTTCAATTGTTCCATTTCTTGTGGTTTATTAATTTTTGTTCTCTAATCAAGGGAAATTACAAAATCATATTGAAAATCCCTATCGAAGCACATTAATAATCTAACTAATGAATGTGATTCGAGAAACAAAACTTGTTCAAGTGCAATTGATCAGATCTTGTCCTTACATTGCTGGTTCCAACACAGCACTCTGTGCACAAAATCTCAAAAAAATATGAATAAGTAACCTACTTAATAGATTAATGTAGGCAGATGTGAATATTGAATAGCTTAAAAGTCAATAGGTAACCTACTTAACAAACCAATTTGAATGGCTTAAACTCAAAAATTGCGAAACTTTATAGAAAATTTCGATCAGACCTTATTTCAAAAACATTCCTCTGTTTTCCCTCAGGCTGCAGAACAACTCCACCAAAACTGATTTACAGCATTTGTTTCAAGTCTTATCATTATGAGTCAATTTGGAGATTTGATAAAAGATCTCAGAAATTAAATGAATAATTCAGATAAAAATAATCATATCAAAAGAACCCATCACTTCAAAAGAAAATTTGCCCTAAACTAACAATCCGTTCCGGAATTTACAAAAGAAAAATGTTATTTTTGTATTTTCATTAAGTTTGGAAGATACTTTCCTTTTTAAAATTGTTTTTGGGTCTTAAATGGTGTGCCTGGGGGGCCCACCCCTGTTTTGTGTCCCCAGTTTCCCCTTTCCCCGTGCACTCATCTCTCTCTCTCACTTTTCTCTCCTCTCTCCCCCGAAACTCTCTCTGCAACTCTCTTTCCCTTCTCTGCGATGTTCCCCTCCTCTTTGAAAACAACCCACACACACCCATGCCCACACCGTACAAACGACGACAACATCACCATCATCACCACGTTAGCTCTCTCTCTCTCTTCGTCTCTGTGGAGCACAAAGAAACTCCGGCAAGTTCCTTGTGCTTCCATTTTGGGTAAGCCTCAAAACACTCCAAATGCTTCTCTTTTCATCCCTCTAGTTCTTTTCTAACCCCGTGGTTGTGTTTTGGACGTCAAACCACGAAGAAACCACCTCGGAGACATTCCCCTAGTTTTCCGGCCAAACCACGGCGAGTTGGCTAGTGTCCAAGGTATCAATCTCTTCGTCTCGCCGAGTACTACAATTTTCCTTTTTGTTTCACCCAATTTCGTTGAGTATTGAAGAAGTTATATTCATTTGAATCTTACCTAGTTTACGACGGACACTCGTGGCTTCCAGGTCGTTTTCCGGCCAACGCTGGCCACAATGACGGAAACCAAGGGTATATCTCGATTCTTTACTTTCGGGGCTTCAATTTGATATATTGAATGCCATGTTTTAGTTGAGTTTTGAGCTCCATCGAAGCTCGGGAATTTTCCGGCCGAAATCCGGCCTTCTCTATCAATTGGGTCCGGCGACCCATGTTCTGAACTCAGACCAGGCTTTCAAGCCCAGATCCTTTTGAACAAGGCCCTTTGGGCCGTGCCAACCCTAGGGCCTTAGGCCCGTTATCCTTTAAATCCAACCCAATTACACAAGCCCAAGCCCAAGTCCATTTCTTTTTAGTTTTGTTTAATTTTTATTCCTATTTAAATTAAAGCCCTTTGGGCCGTTTCCTTTAGGATCTTCGGCCCATAAACCCTAAACCCATTTATTTAAACCCTAAAACCCATTAGACTCAAACCCTTTAGGCCCAAACCGGTCCAACGCAAAACCCTTGACCCGGATGCGTTGACTGTGACCTGGTCTGACCATGACTTGGTCAACGGTCATCGTTGACTTTGACTTGATCGGTCAACGGTCAACGTTGACTTTTAAGGTTGATTTTTTTAGGTGTTCCTCGGGACCCCTCCTAGGCTAATTTCGACGTTCTGAACCCGTTTCCGATGTACATTTTCTCAAATTCAATTGTTTGAGTAGAGTTTGACTAAATGTACCCTTTATGTACTTAGGGGCAATTTATGGTGGCGTTCTATCTTCATTAGTTGCGTGGCTCTTCGGCAGCTACGTACTGTGAGTGGACCTTTTTTAAAAATACATGTTTTAATGGTAGAAATGCATACATGGAAAAGCATGATTTCACAATTATGTTTTATGAAACGCTTTGAGATAACATGCTTATTGAGGCTAGTTAGAATTATTACTATTTTTCCTGTAGCCCGTGTTCTTATAGAATATCCAATGGATGACTATATGATATTTAGAACACCTCTTTATAGTATAGATGATGGATGACTTTATACCATGAAGTTGCTTTTCAATATATGTATGTTCACTGGTTTTGTACTTATCTATTGGTCCTTTCCGCTACAGGATGTAGGGATAGATTCCGGTCCGTCCCGGGCGACGGTTTGGTGTTGGCATAGGGCCTAGAGTGTGTTTCCTTTGGCTATTTAGCACAGGGACAGGGAGCTGGCATGGGGCCTGAAGTGTATTTTTCTCTGACTGTCTGCTCAGAGACGGGGAGCCGGCATGGGGCTTGGGGGTTATTGGACAATTCACTAGTGATTATTATATATACAAGTTATGATTTGAGACATTGCACGGCATGCTAGGTTTTTTGGAAAACCTATGTTTATCATGATATATACATGTGTTTTCATAAAACCTGGAGGTTAGTATGTTGATAACTGTTTTATTATATATATATATATATATATATATATCAACTTGGTCCACTTATGTTTATTTTGCGCTCCCTTCAGGACTTAGCATTGAGGCGTACAATCCCGATGTCCAGGCACTTCCGCATCAGCATCTTCAAGTCCTCTCGGTTCTAGATTAGATGTGTGCTCTGAACACGTTCCTTAAATGCATATTCTTTATTTTTTATATTTATAAGTCTTATCTATCCCTTGTTTTCAGCATTTGCACTCAATAAATGACTTTCGTCACCTTCGGGTGTCGGCTAGTATGTGCCTATCCTGGTATTTGGGGAATATCGAGATTGGGGTGTGTCACTGCAAATTTAAACGAAGAATTCTTTAAAAAAAAAAAAAAAGGTAACTCGATCTGATAAAGACATGAGTAAATTAATTTCATAAATATGAAATCATAAGCATGCGATTCCTAATACTACTGTTGGCATGAACAGTAAATTAATTTATGAGTAAATTGATTTTGATTAGCTTTAAAACTCAACCATTGCACACCAAATTCACAAAGTAAGCAAATTTGAGGGTGTAGAGTAAGAATATCACCTTCGTCGGACCCAAAAAGGTCGGAGAAAACTCAGATCTTAGTCGGAAAAACCCACCGCGAGCTGGGTTTATGGAACTCCTCGGTCTAGGGACAGATTCGAGCATGCAAAACTCGAATTTTGTTGTTGGGACTCTCCTAAGTTGAATGTATTGAGATATCGGTCTAAAAGAATAGGTGCAAAGTTACAGACACACACACACACACACACAAAACCTTAGACAATCCCTCCAGCTTAAGGGCATTCATATGCAGATTACACAGTTTCCTTAAATTCATCTTAAAATGAACTAATATTGAACATGCAATACCTTAACGTATCTCCTAAGACTGAGAGAAGTTATTTCCAGGTAACGGAGAGGCCCAATTCGCCGGCAATTGGCAGGAATTGGGTCGCTGGAAAAAATGTCGGAAACCCTGACTATTGGTTACACGAAAACAACGACAAAATTAGCAAGAGCTTGGCTAAGAAGAGTGAGAGGGATGGGTTGGTAGTGGTTCGGAGGAGTGTAGTGGTCGTTTTACAGTAGTCGTGGTTGGGAGGTGTGGTGAGTCGCGCGTAGAAGGGAAGAGAGAAGGCGGGAGGAAGAAACGGAGAAACAAATATTTGGAATATATACGCAGTGGCAGACTTGAAATAACAGAAACTAAGAGAGGGTAAGACCGGAACAATACTGTGCTTATTATGAACAGTGTTTCAACACTGCTTATGAACACTGTGCGCCTACGCCTTACCAGAATCTGCACTTGAGCAGCATAAAAATTACTACTTTTTAGCAGCCTCGGTACACACTCTCTTTGTCTATACTCAGTTGAAAATGGAGGCGGAAATTGATACCCGTACACCCTTGGACTACTCTGAATTTCAGAATTTTTCCGTCCCAGAACGGGCTAGGTTCTCGCCTTTCGGTAAATTTAATTCTTTTAAGGGTATATTTTTGCTCTTCGGTTGTATTGGTTCATAAAAATTTGTTCTTTCTGCATATACTACACTTGTGCGTTAACAAAATTACAACGAACCTTACAAAACCTTTGATCTTCACTTTAACTAGAATGGGTTTGTGGAGGTATGATTGGATGAAAAATTCAAAATGTCCATGAAAGTGATTCCTTTTATTTGTGGTTTGCTTCACTAATGTGTTTTGAGGATGGTCTAGGTATGAGGCACTTGTTTCCATTGATGGAGAAGTAGAAAAGTTAGCAGGCGGGGCACTTGAGCCGTTGTTGCCACATTTTCCGGAAGTAAATGAATTGCATTGCAAGGGATCAAATGCTAACCTCACACTCCGACTTCCTAAAAGCCTGCATGGTGCTGCCTGGTTCACGAAATCAACTTTAACCAGGTTTTAAACACTCTAATGTTTCTTTTTTCTTGTCTCTTTATCTTCAGTTTAATTATCCATTTTATTTCCTGATACACAAATTGTTTTGCTTCATCACAGATTCCTGCAAATTACTGGTTCACCAGACGTAATGCATACCATTACTGCTACTGAAGGAGAAATATCTCAGTTGGAAGAAGCCAAAAAGTTTCATGTTTCTTTATATGGCCAGGTTCCTTCTCCCGTCTTTCAAGATTGATGTTTGAAGGCGTATGGTTTAATAAATATTCCGGTATCCGGCAACTAATGTGTGATTTTTATCAACAGCCTGAAGCTGAGATTGCATCATCAGATGCTTCAAAGTATGTCCCTTTAATTCTTCATTTAAGATTACTTTTGAGTTGCATCAGCATGACACTATAGGAATTTGTGCTGTCAGGAACGAACTTTTTCAGGCCCTGGACTTGAGGCTCACTGCATTAAGAAGGGAATTAACGACCGCTATTGAAAAGGCTTGTCATTCGTCGTTCAACTCTGAAGAGATTTCAAATGTAGCAAACTTTTCTCAACATTTTGGAACAACAGATTTCAGGTAAGGTAGTCACTTAGATTAGTAGAAAGGGCACTGGTATTTTAGCTTCTTAGTTGCTCTGAAAGAATCCGTTGTTTGAAGATTTATCTGCTAAATGTTCTTACAAAGTCAGTATCGTGGTGAAAACGCAGGAATACTCTGTTCAAGATTTTAGAACAGTATCAACAAGGCAAGAGTGGTGATCCTCAAAATGATGACAAGTCGGGTAATTTTGGAGATGATAATGTTGAGACAGATGGGAGTGCTCAGATATCTAAGCCCATGAATTTCGCTACAGCAGTAAAATATAGTGTTTCGCCTGCAAAAGCTGCCCAGGTTGAGCGACATAGTTCAACCGAAAGTGGGGAGTCTTCTGAGTCAAGTGACGAGGAGCAAACATCTGCAGAAAGAAGTCGGAGTCTTATGAGAAGTGCTGCACCTAGAAGGTCGGCATCTCCAATGCGGAGGATTCAAATAGGAAGAACTGGGTCACGCAGAGCTGCAGCATTAACCATTAAGAGCCTCAATTACTTTCCTTTTAGGGAAAAGCCTTTTTCAGAAGAGGGTGAACCTGAACACTCAAACAAGAAATCTGAGAGCAACGCACGAAGGATGAGTGTTCAAGATGCAATTAGTCTTTTCGAAAGCAAACAAAGAGATCAAGCTGCTGCGGATGCTCAAAAAAGGAGCTCGTTAACAAATATCTCTGTGAGTACAGATAAAGCTGTATTAAGAAGATGGAGCTCAGGTTTGGGGGAAACTTCCACCCAAAGTCAATCTGAAATTGCCTCTGGAGACAGTGGTCCAGTGACTTCCAATGATATAAAGAATGGTGAGGTGCCAACATCTTCAGAAGAAATGAAACCACAGATCAAAGTACTATTGAAGCTCCTAAACCGGCAGTTAACGAAGGAAGATTTGAGAAAAATTTATCTATTCCAATTGATACCGAAGCAGACTCTACTATAACTCCGGGAGAGAAAAGCAATAAAAAAATCAATAGCTTCAATGGAATGGAGTCAAGAAAGGGAAGCAGAATTGAACCAAATGCTGATGAAAATGATGGAAACTAAACCTGCTAAATCTACAAAGCCTCAAGCTACCAGAAATCAAAGCCTTCCTTCTGAACAGAGAGGTGGCTTTTATGACCACTACAAGGAGAAGAGAGATGAAAAACTACGAGGTGAGAATTCTAGAAGGCGAGCATAGAAAGAAGCACAATTTAAAGCAATGCAGCGAATTCTTGATGAAAGGAAAGCCGAAATGTCCTCTGCAAAGGCGAATGATATTGATAAAAAAGGTGCTACGAAGAAGCCCCAAAAATCAGTTGGAAAAGTATCTCAACCTGCAAATCCTAGAAAGGAAAATGCAAAGCCTTCTGTTACAAAGAAGGCTTCACCTAGAACATCACCCATGCCTGCTACACGCAAGTCGTGGCCATCAACACCAACACTGAGAGCCACAGGGGCATCGCCAGCTAGAACTCCTGTTGCGGTTACCAGCACTACCCTGACCCGTCAAAAACCCAAGCCAACACCACCCGGTGCTAAAGTGGAAAGACCCCCACAGCGACAGAGGATGTGATTACTAATGACAGGAGCTCGAAGGGAGTAAATGAGAAGCAGCAGCAAGCAGTGAAAAAGAGCGGTAAAACAACAAAACCTAAAGTAGTGACAACCTCTGGTGATTATTCTGATATAATTCCAGCAAAGCACAACAAGGTGACCAAGAAAAGCAGTGTAGTGCCGGTGGAATCAAAACCATTTCTTCGGAAGGGTACTCGAACGAGCCCAGGTGTTATTCCTGTCGTTAACAAGACAAGAACTTCTCCTCAATCGGAGGAATCTTTGAGTAACAGCACAAATATTATTGAAACTCAAGAGGATGAGGTGATTGGTAGCGCTTTTGATCCTGTGAGTCAGCATCAAGAGCCAGATATTGTGTCAGTCGGCCTTTCAAATGATGCTGTGGAACCAGAAGCTCTGGTAAATGATAGCCTGATGTGTAGTGAGACACAACAAGTTGACCGAGTTTCTCCTGATCGTAATGATGACTTGAAAAATGTTGCAGAATCGTCATTGCAAGTTCAAGCTGAAGAAGACTCAACCATCTCCCCAAGTGCTTGGGTGGAAATAGAGGAGCATCAGGCCATGTCCCCATGTAACAACGACTCATCTCAAGTAACCACTTCAGCCAATGTTGCACCAGCTGGACTGTCAAGTCCCCGTGTCCGCCATTCTTTATCCCAGATGCTGCAAGAAGAAAGTAACGACCCAGATAATATTGAGTGGGGAAATGCTGAAAATCCTCCTGCTATTGTGTTCCAAAAGGATGCACCAAAAGGATTGAAGAGGCTCTTAAAATTTGCTCGGAAGAGCAAGGGAGATGCCAATTCGACTGGTTGGTCTAGTCCGTCAGTTTTCTCTGAAGGAGAGGATAATGCTGACAGTGTACTCAGAAAGTCTTCGCTTCATACAAGGAAGTATGAACCGTACTCTAGTAACTTTCCTGCTTTCATTAGAATTCCGTCCTGCCTTTGTCTTTTTCTTTTGCTCCTTTCCTCCCTTCCTCGCTAACCCTTGCTTTAATTTGTTGTGAAAGCAGATAGTTGACAAAAGCAGATTGTATTTCGTATCGTAGTAGAGAAAAGTTAGATGGTTGGATGTTTTTTTTTGCTCATTTTATTAATCATTTTGGATTTGTGCATGCAGCTCAATCAAATATTAGCAGATTTGACGGGCAGAGTTCACATAAGTCACAAGAGAACCGCGATGCAGCTGCAGGACCTGCAACTAAAGGTTGTCTTTCCACGTGATGAGTAACACAGTATCGTTTTCTATGATTTATTTATTTTCCTGCAAATTTTTTCTACACCTGCATACAGAATTTCTACGCGCCATTTCTAAGTCGCTTGATTAAGATTCCAATACTGTCTACTATTTGTGTTTCAGCTGCAACAAGGTCATTCTTCTCTCTTTCAGCGTTTAGGGGCAGCAAACCAAATGAGATGAAGTTTCGCTAATGCTGGAGACTCATGTCGAGTACTGGAGTCGGATTCTTCGAAACTTTCTATTCTTCCTTTACCATCGTCGTAGCATGCATGATGCATTCATCCACATGCAAAGACAAGGGACCGTCCCTATACTTCTGGTATTTTTTTTTTTTTTTTTTTTCTTCTTTCCTGTCGTAAAACTCTGTTTGCGGGTCTTTTGTACATGCAATATATGCCCTTGTTCTGTTCTTTTCAGAGATTTAAACAGATCCCTGTTCTTAACCCTTATGCTTAGGATGTCAAGCAACTACATCGATACATGTCGAGTCGAGTCGATTTTATTTATCCTAGGTACAAAGTTGCTTCATAATGTATCCAGTTTCAAGTCTGTAAACTTTGCGTATATTGGCATCAATACGAATGCTTTGTGACAGAGAATGCCTCTAAATAACATAGGAACATGCTAACTCTGTTGTCACCATTTTCCTTGCTCCACGAGCATTTCAAAGCTGCATAGCAATTGGGTGTTCTTGTAGAAGAGAGAGGTGTCATGTGAATTAGTATGAAGAAGAGAGAGAGAAGTACCGTGAAGAAGGGGAGAGAGAAGAGAGAACAAAAAAAAGATCCAGGGGTAAAATTGTAAATGAAAATATTTGAAAATACAACCACGAAGTGATGTAAATAATGTGAGTTTGCTGATAATTAATTAATAGGTAACTAATCCGTAAACCATTTTTACACAATGCTCATGTCATTCAATTTATTTCTATTGAATGAAGAATTACTTGTTCAGAAAACAAGTCTTTTAATTTTATATGGGATAATTTTTCTATTTTTTATTTTTTAAGAAAACCTCGACGGTACGAGGGATATTTTATTGATAACGAAAAAAAAGTTACACCCCTCTAAAAACAAAAACGAAAACGATACAAGGGAGGGGGGACATGAAACCTAACCCCTCTAAAGTCAAACCTCTCTAAAAACGAAAACGAAAACGATACAAGGGAGGGGGGACATGAAACCTAACCCCTCTAAAGCCAAACCTGAAAGAAAAATACACTGAAGCAAGAGGATGAAATTTAACAAAATCATACTACACAACCATACTGGCATATTCGCCACAGCAAGGAAAATGCCAACAAACTTACTCAAAGTACAAAACAAAGCTAAACATATTCAACACTTACATGATATATTTTAAGCACTATCCTATTCAGCAACTGTGAAAGAAGAATGCTCCATGGCATGTTTACCAGCAAAGAACCAAGCACAATCCAAAACCCCGTGAAGAATCCAACTACCAAGCTCACGTAGAACCACTCATCTTCGAGTAAACGGTATCCTCCTCCTCCGTCTTGCTCAACTGTTGCTGGCGGTATCACCCCATTTGCGCTGCAATTGTTGTTGAGTGGAGGTCCGCAGAGTTCATTGCCGACGAAGCTAGACTGATCAAGGCTCTGCAGCTGAGTGCTTTCTGGAATTTGTCCTATCAAATTGTTGTAGGACAAGTTTAAGTGACTCAGAAATGTCAAATTCGTCATGCTTGGAGGAATTTCACCATCAAGTTGGTTTAGGGAAAAATCGAGAGATTCTAACCGTGCCATATTACCAATCTTTGAAGGAATTCTTCCGGTGAAGCGATTATTTGATAAATTGAGTGACTGCAATGCGAGGAGGCTTGTAAGTTCTTCAGGGATCTCTCCATACATAAAGTTGCATGAAAGATCCATGCTCTTTACAAATTTCAGATTCTTGGTATATTCCACTTCTATCCCTTTCATTACCAAGATTGTGTTCTCTGGAACTGTATAAGGCTCAGCAGAAACACCAATGCCAAACAGTGGTGACAAAAATGATTCTGAAAAATTAGCCATGGCGCTCAAATTGCGGAAGCATCTCGGTAAGGTTCCAGAGAGTTTATTACGTGCAAGGTCCAATATCTGGAGACTTTTCAAATAACAAATTTCAGAAGGAATGTCTCCTTCAAACTCATTCGAACGAAGGTTAAGAACATTCAACAATGAAAGGCTTTTACCCATCCATATTGGTATGCTTCCGACAAACCCATTTCCACCAAGGTCAACAATTGACAACATGGTACAGTTTTGTAGGGAATGTGGCAATTCTCCGTAAAGGTGATTATTGCGCAAGTGCAGCGATTCCAACTGATGCAAGTAGCTCATAGACATTGGGACATTCCCAGTTAGGTAGTTGTTTTCTATAATTAGGACTCCCAAGTCTTGCCAACTCATCCAACAGTCGGGTACTTTTCCAGTGAGAAGATTGTTCCCGAGATGAAGAACATAAAGTTGCTTTGGTTCATCCGGCCTATCACAGAAGAAGTGGAAAACAGATCCAGAAAATGATGAATTGGAAAGATCTAGCCAAAATAATGAGGTGGGAACAATAGGCAATGCACCGGTGAATTGGTTAGAACCAAGATCAACTGCTGAACCAGGGGCAACAACTATATTTTGAATCTCCCCGTACAATCGGTTGTGAGAGAGATTCAGATAACGTAATTGGGAAGTTAGATTCCAAAACCAAGTTGGAATAGCACTTGAAATTCCCGTACCAGATAAGCTTAGATATGTTAACTGCTTTTGTGTCCGAAGCCACATTGGCCATTCAGGTCCCAGGTGCCATGAATCCAATTGCAAACTTTCAAGTTGAAAAGGAAGAAGCCAATCTCGACTAGTTTTCAGAGTAAATGAGTTTCCTTTTGCATTGAAATGCTTCAATTTTGTAAGGTTACTAAAGGAAACTTCCGACACCATACCTTTGAACGAATTATAAGATATATCCAAATCTGTTAGCATTTTGAGTTGACCAATAACTTCTATGAAAGTTCCATTAAACTGATTTCCAGATATGTCTAGTTCTTCTAAACTTGACAGGTTTCCTAGGGACATTGGAATGGGACCTGATATTGAATTACCAGAAAGATCAAAGTGCCTTAAACTTTTAAGGTTTCCAATGGAACTCGATATTTCACCACTTAAGGCATTGCGAGAAAGAAGTAAGGACTCGAGATTGTTCAAGCTATACAACCATTCAGGTATGGTAGAATTGAATTCGTTCCCCCCGAGATTAAGAGCTGTAAGACCAGTTATATTCTGAATACTGCTTGGAAGTTGTCCTGTAAGTTGATTGGCTTCTAGACTCAATTCAAGGAATTTTTGGTTAAACAACCATTTGGGAATTGTATCAAGACTAATAGAATTGTTTGACAAATCAATTTCCCTCAGAGATGTGATATTCTGTGAAATGCTAGGAATTGGACCATGGAAACCACAAAAACTGAGATGAAGAGAAACTAGATTTTTAAGACTGAAAACCCATCTCGGCATCAAAGAATTAAAAATGTTGAGAGAAAGATCAAGGACGACCAGGGAAGTAAAATTTGGGGTGGGTTGAGGGGGAATTTGATCAAGTTCACAATCAGACATATCTAACTCTACCAAAGAAGGGAGCATGTTTGTAACTTGCAACCAGTCAGATGCTTTTCTAAGATTTATAGAACTCAAGTCCAAGTGTTTCAGCTGAGAAAGACTAGAAATCCACTGAAGGTTTTCAACCTTCAGATCGTTAAAACTGAGATTGAGATAATGTAGACTGGAGAGATTTCCTAGTTTATGAGGAATTACTCCATCAAACAATGAGTATCCAAGATTAAGGTGTGTTAAACTTGTCATAGAACCAAAGAAACTAGGAATTTGTGTTCTGAAATCATTGTTGCTTAGGTCCAAGTAGTTGAGATGTTTTAAACTGAGCAAAGAAGGATTTATCTTACCACAGAAGAAAGAGTCGAAACCCCAATCAGAGTCAGAACTATTAAGGTGCAGCTGGTGGATGTGGCCGGTTATGTGATCACAGACAACTCCTGTCCAACTGCAACAGTCGGAATCTTCTTCTGCAACCCACGATGCAAGCCGATTCGCAGGGTCCTTGAGATCTTGCTCGAACATTAGAAGTGCTTGTCTTTCGCTTTCCTTGCAAAGTGGAGGCCAACCGGGATTTCCATTGCCCATATCCAGGAGGTGGGATATGATAGATACGAATTTTTGATGACGTCACGTGTCAATTCGGGACGTATGTCGGGATTGGGGCGTGACATTGCTGGCTCCACGAGCACTTCAAAGCTGCATAGCAATTGGGTTTTCTCGTAGAAGAGGGAGAGGTGTCATGTGAATTAGTACGAAGAAGAGAGAGAAGTACTGCAAAGAAGAAAGGAAGAGAGGAGAGAAAACAAAAGAAAGATGGAGGGGTAAAATTGTAAATGAAAAATAATTAAAAATGCAACCACGAAATAATATGAATAATGTAAGTTTGTTGATAATTAATTAATAGGTAACTAAACCCTAAACATTTTCACACATTTCTCATGTCATTCAATTTACTTCTGCTAAATGAAGAGTTACTTGGTTATAAAACCAGTCTTTTAATTTTATATGGGATAATTTTTTTTATTTTTTTTATTTTTTTTTTGAGAAAACCTCAACAGTACGAGAGATATTTTATTGATAACGAAAAAAAAAAGTTACACCTAATCAGGGGGGACATAAACCTTACCCCTCTAGAAATGAAAACAAAAACGATACAAGGGAGAGGGGGGACATGAAACCTAACCCCTCTAAAGTCAAACCCGAAAGAAAATTACAATGAAACAATAGGATGAAATTTTACAAAATCATACAACACAAACATACTAGCATATTCGTCACAGCAAGGACAATGCCAACAAACTTACTCAAAGTACAAGACAAAGCTAAACATATTCAACAATTACATGATACATTTTGAGCGCTATCCTATTCAGCAACTGTGAAAGAAGAATGCTCCATGGCATGTTTACCAGCAAAGAACCAAGCACAATCCAAAACCCCGTGAAGAATCCAACTCCCAAGCTCACGTAGAACCACTCGTCTTCGAGTAAACGGTATCCTCCTCCGTCTGTTGGTGGCGGTATCACCCCATTTGCGCTGCAATTCTTGTTGAGTGGAGGTCCGCATAGTTCATTGCCGACGAAGCTAGACTGATCAAGGCTCTGCAGCTGAGTGCTTTCCGGAATTCGTCCAGTCAAATTGTTGTAGGACAAGTTTAAGTGACTCAGAAATGTCAAATTCGTCATGCTTAGAGGAATTTCAGCATCAAGTTGGTTCATGGAAAAATCGAGAGATTCTAACTGTGCCATATTACCAATCTTTGAAGGAATTCTTCCGGTGAAGCGATTATTTGATAAATTGAGTGACTGCAATTCAAGGAGGCCGGTAAGTTCTTCAGGGATCTCTCCATGCATAAAGTTGCATGAAAGATCCATGCTTTTTACAAATTTCAGATTCTTGGTATAATTCACTTCTATCCCTTTCGTTACCAAGATTGAATACTCTGGAATATAAGAATTAGAAATACCATACCCTTCTAGCCAACCGGATTTTGAAACACCAGCCATGGAACTCAAATTGTGGAAGCATCTCGGTATCGTTCCAGAGAGTTTATTATGTGCAAGGTCCAATATCTGGAGACTTTTCAAATAACAAACTTGAGAAGGAATGTCTCCCTCAAACTCATTTGAACGAAGGTTAAGAACCTGCAAATTTGAAAGGCTTTCCCCTATCCATATTGGTATGCTTCCGACAAACCCATTTCCACCAAGGTCAACAACGGACAATGAGGAACAGTTTTGTAGGGAATGTGGCAATTCTCCGTACAAGTGATTATTGCGCAAGTGCAGCGATCTCAGATATCGTAAGTATCCCATGGACATTGGGACATTCCCAGTTAGGTTGTTGTTTTCTAAATGCAGGAAGTACAAGGATTGCCAACTCATCCAACAATCGGGTACTTTTCCAGTGAGTAGATTGTTCCCGAGATAAAGAAAAACTCGTTGCTTTGGTTCATCCGGCCTATCACAGAAGAAGTGGAAAACAGATCCAGAAAATGATGAATTGGAAAGATCTAGCCAATATAATGAGGTGGGAACAATCGGCAATGCACCAGTGAAATGGTTAGAACTAAGATCAACAATTGAATATGGAGCAACAGATATATTTTGAATCTGCCCATACAACTGATTGTGAGAGAGATTCAAATACTCTACTTGGGAAGTTAAGTTCCAAAACCAAGTTGGAATAGTACTTGAAATTCCTGTACCAGATAAGCTTAGATCTGTTAACTGCGTTTGCGTCTGAAGCCACATTGGCCATTGAGGTCCCAAATGCCATGAATCCAGCTGCAAATTTTCAAGTTGAAAAGGAGGAAGCCAATCTCGACTGGTTTTCAGAGTAAATGAGTTTCCTTTTGCAATGAAATGCTTCAATTTTGTAAGGTTACTAAAAGAAACTTCCGACACCACACCTTCGAACCAATTATAAGATATATCCAAATCTGTTAGCAATTTGAGTTTACCAATAACTTCTATGAAAGTTCCATTAAACTGATTTCTAGATATGTCTAGTTCTACTAAACTTGACAGGTTTCCTAAGGACATTGGTATGGGACCTGATATTGAATTACCAGAAATATCAAAGTGCCTTAAACTTTTAAGGTTTCCAATGGAACTCGATATTTCACCACGTAAGGCATTGCCAGAAAGAAGTAAGGACTCAAGATTGTTCAAGCTATACAACCATTCAGGTACGGTAGAATTGAAGTCGTTCCACCTGAGATTAAGAACTTTAAGACAAGTCATATTTTGAATAAAATTTGCGGTGGGTAGATGGGGAATTTGATCAAGTTGACAATCAAACATAATTAACTCTGCCAAAGAAGGAAGCATGTTTGTAACTTGCAACCAGTCAGATGCTCTGCTAAGATTTACATAACTCAAGTCCAAGTGTTTCAGCAGAGAAAGACCAGAAATCCACTGAAGGTTCTCTACCATCAGATTGGAATAATAGAAACTACTGAGATTGAGATATCGTAGACTAGAGAGATTTCCCAGTTTATGAGGAATTATTCCATAAAACCCTGAGTCTGCAAGGTTAAGGTGTGTTAAACTTGTCATAGAACCAAAGAAACTGGGAATTTGTGTTGTACTGAAATTATTGTTACTCAAGTCCAAGTAGTTGAGATGCTTTAAACTGAGCAAAGAAGGATTTATCTTACCACCGAATAAATAGTGGAATTCCCGATCAGAGTCGGAACTATTAAGGTGCAGCTCGTGGATGTAGCCTGTTATCTGATCACAGACAACTCCTGTCCAACTGCAACAGTCTGAACCTTCTTCTGCAACCCACGACGAAAGCCAATTGGCAGGGTCCTCGAGATCGTGCTTGAACATCAGAAGTGCTTGTCTTTCGCTTTCTTTGCAAAGCGGAGGCCAACCAGGAATTCCATTGCATAAACCAATACTGAAAGTAATGGTTGCAAAAGCTAGAACCCTGATTAGTAGTAAAACAACTCTCATGCTTCTCTCCATAAAGTTTTAGTCTATGAAGTAGGTGATGTGTATGAGCAATGAACGATCCAGAGTAGTGCCACCTATATATATACTAGGCAGCCTCACCTTTTTCTAAACCATCCACTACGGCATGAGCAGTTTTTCTAAACCATCCTCTACGGCATGAGACCGCATTTTCAAAATCGATGCACGTCAATGACTGTATCAGTCGGACGGATTCTTGGAATCTTTGACAAAAATCTCACAACCAACAACTAGCTAGTCCATCTATAGAAACAGAAGTTAATCTAGGGTCCCCCTCGGAATTGGGAATAATAGGCCCTTCAAATACGTTGTATTAATTTAAGGGTAATGTTATTAGCACTCCAAAAAACTCATTCTACACTCCTCACAAGTGTATTTTTCTTTACAAATATAGAAAGTTTGGAGTGTAGAACAAGTTTTTTGAAGTGTCAATAATAATTCCCTAATTTAATAAGTAAATTATATTTTAACACCTCAACTTAAGGCCACACAACAAACTCATACCTCATCTTTTGAACATTTTAATGTCATACATTAATTTCCAAATTTGTTTCAGTTTCAGATCTCCGTTAACCAATCTATCTACTTGGCCGTTAAGTGATGATATGATAAATATGGGACACATAATTTTGCTGATGTAGCAGTGCCATGTCGATAAAAAATAAATTAAATTGTGCCATGTAGGACACAATTTGCTAACTCGAAGAAGTAGCAACTGCAAGGTCAATTGTTAAGTCTTTAATTTGCTAATTGAGTTGTTACCTCCGTTAGAGGTGTGGTTTTCCTACGTGACATAGAAAATTTAACTTTGCCACCCAAATGTTACTTCCCTTGGAGATGCTTTGGTAGCTACAGAATTCATTTCTAGGCAGGCAGTCATGCATGCATTTCTAGCGAGAAAGATCATAAACATTAGTAATTTACTATGTAAATAAAGTTGAATTAAAGAAATAATTGGCAAATTAATAATCAAATGAAGAGAAGAATGGTTGCAGATTTGCAATAGTGCCAACGTTGACGAAAAGGATGGACCATCTTTTTTCTAAACCAACCTCAACGGCAAGAGAACGTAGGCTTTTTTGAATCCATGCCCATGAATGAGTCAGTCCGACTGTCATTGAATGTAGTGTTAGGAAGTTGAGAAGATAAAATTTTATGTGGAAAATTTGGCCAAAAACTCTGATATATTCCATACAATGACGAATGTATGAAAAGTCATGCAGAATAATTAAAGCTTTGATTTTTCTTGCTCAAAGATGATAAGAAGGGGTGAAATATACATACAGCCATTTAAGTAGCTAGTCCATCTGTAGAGACAGAACTTTAAGGCCAGTCGTATTCGCAGCCCCACCTGGAACTGGGAACAGTCCTTCGTACAAGTCGTAGCTAAGACTAAAGACCCTCCCCGCAAGCTAGGCATATCAAACAAGCAAATGATTTAATCCACAACTCTAACAATCATATGCTCTTCTAGTATCTACAAAATTCATATCGACCGAGGTGCACAACACTTGGACTTGAGAGATTTCCAAGTTCACAAGGAAGTATTCACTCAAAGATCAGAAAGTAAAACAAATCTCTTTGAGTAAAAGTGCTATATAAAAACCCCAAAGTCGGCAGAACATTCTGTTGGTGAAAAAGTTAGATCTTAACTCAAGATAGTGAAAATGTTAGATTTTAGCTCAAAATAGTGGCAAACTGGCAATAGCAAAGTAGCATAGAAAGGAACATCAAATTGCCTTCTGAAGGCAAATGTGCATTCTTGGCAATAAATCCAATATCGTGGTCGGCAGAACTATTAGGTAAACGCGCCATTTCACACAATAATTGTTAAAGAAGCAATATCCTAGTAAATAATGAGAAGAAAAGGCTGAGTTTGAAGAATGTACCTTCTGTAGGCGGAAAACAACGAATGATACAAACGTCAAACGGAAACGTTTTCCTAAATGTAGCAGATGTAGCCCGTGCATTCTGAGCTAAACAAGAATTTGTATCTGGAATCTGGATGAACAACCGAACAAGGCAATATCGACCGGGTGGCCTCCACAGCCATCCCTTATAGCCCTTGTATACAGGTTGGGCAACTGGCCCAGTCTTCTGCATAAATTCTTGATAAGATTTTGGCAAGCTCTCAGGACGCATTACATAAGCGTACATAATTACCTTAAGCATAATCTGCAAGAGAAACTCAAATTCACTGTCACTGATTGAGCAAAATATTTTAAATTATCATTTTGTTGAAGTATTACTACTGACGCGTACATAACCTTAAACGTAATGTTAAAGTATCCCATCTCAAATTTGCAAGAGATCACTCGAATTCACTATCACCGACTGAGCAATTATCATTTCAATCATAGAATTTTGCTCCAATTCTTCAGATTATTAATCAAAAAACATAATCATTTTACTGACTAATGATAAACCAACACAATCCGGCACAAAAACGGAGAGTGACTACAGAAACGCCAATCCATACCTTAAGGTCGAGGAGCGAAGAGTAAGACTGCCGGCGCGCGAGCTTAAAAGCGCGAATAAGGATGCCAATTCGAACCTTGACGGCGTACGACAAGAGAGAGCTCTGGCATAGATTACCAATGGTCTGGGTGACGCAAGACTCGTCCACGGCTTGGTCGCAGGGCGGGTGGGGCTGTGAGCCAGTGGCGGCGGCGGATCGCTGGCAGTTCTGGAGCTCCTCGATGGCATTGCGGAGGCGGTCCTCGGCCTGGAGGAGGCGGCGCTTGGCGTTGGAGCTATCTAAGGAAGGGGGAAGAGGGGGTTTGTTAAGGTAACTTAAACTAAACTAAAAGCTATTTTTTATTTTAATAAAAAATCATGTTTTTACTTTAAAAGATTAATGTTGGTACTATTTATTTTATCTTTTATTTATCTTTATAGTTAAAACTCAAAATTTTCAAGCTACTTTCGTTAGTTTTTCTAATAATTTAACACCCCTAATTTAAAAATTAAGAAAGTGTGAAAAAACACTAGTAAATTTTAAATAAAATAATGTAATTTTACTAATAATTAATTAATAGGTAACTAACCATGAATTATTTTCACGAGAAGTTTCTTGTTCTAACTCCGATTCAAGGTTGTCCTTACCATACCTAGCTGAGGGAAAGATGGAGAGATGGAGACCCATCAATGAAACAAGAATCGAGGCATCGGCTCGTCGTTCGCTGTTTCGACGACAGTAAAGAGGTGACCCGGAGCGAGATTTGGGACAATCATTCGAGGATTTCTCATAAACCAATTATGATAAAAAGAACTGTTGGGCTAATTTTAATTTTTAATTTTTATAATTTTTTAATATCTACATGGCGTTCAGTCGTTGTTTCAGTAGACACCACATTATCAGTTAATGGTTGACTTAACAGCAACCTTAACAGATGTATAAAATTGTTCCTAAATTTTGATTTCAAGTATCACTCTGGGATAAAAAAAACTTAATGCACTAAATATTGAAAATCAAAAAATTTGAGGGTAGTAACCTGATATTAACCTATTTATTTATTTTAGAATTTAACAACTAGCTAGTCCATTAGAAACAGAAGTTAATCTAGGGTCCCCTCGGACTTGGGAATAATAGGTCCTTCAAATACGTTGTATTAATTTAAAGAGTAAATTATATTTTAACACTTCAACTTAAGATCACATAACAAACTCATACTTTATCTTTTGAACATTTTAATGTTACACATTAATTTACAAATTTGTTTTAGTTTCAGACCTCCGTTAGCCAATTTGTCGACTTGGCAATTAAGTGATGATGTGACAAATGTGGGACACATAATTTTGCTAATGTGGCAATGTCATGTCGATAAAAAATAAATTAAATTGTGCCATGTAGGACACAATTTGCTAACTTGAATAAGTAGCAACTGCAAGGTCAATTGTTAATTCTTTAATTTGCTAATCGAGTTGTTACCTCCGTTAGAGGTGCGTTTTTCCTACGTGACACAAAAAATTTAATTTTGCCACCCAAATGTTACTTCCCTTGGAGATTCTTTGATAGCTACAGAATTCATATCTAGGCAGGCAGTCATGCATGCATTTCTAGTGAGGAAAATTATCTAATGAGCCCTTTAACGGAATGGTTGATAACGATAGGAAAGAAAGATCATAAACATTAGTAGTTTACTATGTAAATAAAGTTGAAGAATTAAAGAAATAATTGGCACATTAATAATCAAATGAAGTGAGGAACGGTTGCAAACTTTGAGGAAAAGGATGGACCATCTTTTTTCTAAACCATCCTCAACGGCAGGAGAACGTAGGCTTTTTAGAATCCATGCCCATGAATGAGTCAGTCCGACTGTCATTCAATGTTTGATAATGTTAGGAAGTTGAGAAGATAGAATTTTATGTGGAAAATTTGGCCAAAAACTCTGATATATTCCATACGATGGTGAATGCATGAAAAGTCATGCAGAATAATTAAAGCTTTGATTTTTCTTGCTCAAAGATGACACGAAGGGTTGAACTATACATACGGCCATTTAAGTAGCTAGTCCATCTGTAGGGACAGAACTTCAAGGCCAGTCGTATTCGCAGCCCCACCTGGTACTGGGAACAGACCTTCGTACACGTCGTAGCTAAGACTAAAGACCCTCCTTGCTAGCTAGGCATATCAAACAAGCAAATGATTTAATCCACAACTTTATATATTCCATACGATGAATGCATGAAAATTCAATTAGAATAATTAATTAAAGCTTTGGCTTTTCTTGCTCGATGATAAGAAGGGTTGAACTGTACAGCCGAGGTGCACAGTTCTAAACCATCCTCTACGACATGAGCACTTTTTCTATACCACCCTCTACGGCATGAGATTGAGACCGCATTTTCTAACACATCAATGAGAGTAGCAGTCAAACAGAGCCTAGGAATCTGACAAAAGTTTCATAGATGATAAGATGGAACAATTACTTTCTTTGAATGGTCGGCCCTTCAAATACGTTGTCTTGAGCATTTCGTACAAATAATAAGTTTCTGTAAAAATTGCTAAACCATCTTACAAATTTAATCGTCAACCGTTATATTATTGTAACCCAAGACAAAGATAAAGCATATAGTTTGTTTATAAATCAAAACAAAGTGATGCTATAATCCGCAACAACTATGAATCATTTCCACATAAAGATACTCAAATTTAACCGCACATTGAATAACCATCAAGCAAAGCAAAATATGCCATGTGTTAACACGAAACCAAAACAAAAGGAGAATTAAATATCGAAAATTTTTCCATAAGGCATCAACTGACAAAATGCTTCTTAATGAGGTCTTCCAAAAAATGAGTGCAACTCCCAAACAACTTAGAAAACACCTTAGAAATCTTTATCACCCCAATCTTACTAAATAGAAGCAATATGGACAGGATAGCTCCCTAATTTTGTAATGGAAACTCTAAAAAAAGAATATTAGGCTCCAAAGGTCCTAACGTTTTCTTGGCATAAATCTATACGTTGGAAGTTTAATTCCAATGAGACAAATATGCATGTAAAGTAAAAAGCATCAACGCTACATGTACTGCTTTACAACCATCTCAAGTTACTAACACAATGCCTAAAATATTCAAGACTCAAAGATTTTCATATAAATAGAACACTTCACCAAAACAATAACCGAGGTTGTGGCACTTAAATCAAGCAGGCAGATGCTTTGCAAGGCTGCCTTCAATATCATCTCATATTCTCTTTTCATTTTTCCTATATGATACAATAAACCGTTCAAATTCAATTCATGTGGAATTGGGGGAAAGAAAAGATTCAAAACTCTAATCATCCAAATAGAACATATTATGTTAAAATGTTTCTTGAATATGGTCAGCAACGGTATTTGCAAAGAAACACGATGTTAACTCTCATGTATACGTTCAACGATTAGATTCCCTCCTCGTTTTGCATCTTGTTGATTAAGATTATAACCTAGAAACCAAAATATAACAAACATAGAAACATATATGAGAATTTACATGAATAGGAAAGGATTTTAAAGATTCGGAATGTAATGAAGAGAGGAAAACATGCTTATATGGCTAACAAGATCAAAGAAATTGCAAAAAAACAACAAATGGGGAAAATTACAGAACATGGGTATTTCCTAAAACTCCATCACGTTTTCAGTTCAAATTTTTCTGGGCATACAAAATGAAGCTAATGGAATGAAGAGTAGAATTATTACCTTTGCCAGACCCAAAGTGGTTGCAAAAGCTTGAAAAACCACATGCCAATCCTAACAAAATCGAATCGACAAACGAAAGGAAACCCATTAAACCCACATTCCAATTCAACCAAAATTCAAACTTCACCTCAAATTAGATCAACAGAAAGAGAAACAGGGGAAAACCCAAATGCAACAGGATAGAAAAATAGGGGGGGGGGAGAGAGAGAGAGAGAGAGAGAGAGAGAGAGAGAGAGAGAGAGAGAGAGATTACAATGAGTGAGCCGGCAAGATTTGAAAGCTTCGGTGAACTCGCGGCTCCCCTTCGACTCATTGCATCAATAGGATTAGAAGATTCTAGAAATAAAAAAAAAAAAACTGAATGGCCATAAACTGAATTAAATAAAATTCTCAGAATTTCGTACAATATCCATGAGCGAATGCTCACAAAAGATGAATAACATATAAATATAAACATAAAAAAAAAAAAAAAAAAAAAAGTTACCTCAATAGAACAGATGGGCACTAGTTATAAACTATTGGCCTGGAAATAGTTGACAAACCACAACCCCATGTCCATGATGTCGACACTGTCGATGTATTATATGTTTGTTAATTTCTACAACTAAAATCAAAATCAAATACCAACATACTTCCTCATGTGTTATGTTTTGCAAAAATTCAAATGACAATGTATAAAAAAACATAATTATACGGTAGCAATTCTTCATAGAATTCTTCCTCTATCTCCTCCACTTTTTTACCATGATGTTTGCTTCCATATATTGAGCTCAATTCTTCAGAGCTCGATGAGAGACTAAACCTTTGATGTGGAGGCAGTCCAGCAATAGCATAAGCAACAGCTGCAGCAGCCGCATCTTGCGCGGGAACCTGCTCGAGAAGGTAAACAACGCATGAATACATTTAGGACAGAAAATAAACGTTTATTTTAACCCTGTACCAATCAGCTAAATTTCACAGTAAGCACAACATTTTCATTCCCTACTTAACAGTGAATTAACTACGACTGCCAGATTAATAAGCATTGTTCTTAAAATGATACTTATTAAACTTGACCTTCTTAATTAACACGAAACCGCGGATAATCTACCAAACCAAACTGTTATTCAGTATATAAAGCAAAATACACACGCTTGGAAAAAACATTTCAAATTATATGATCTAATTACACAATTTCAACTCGCTTTTACTCTGAAACAAGACTTTCACAGAACTAAACACTAACCGCATCGAATCGATTTGGAGGGCTTAAAAGAAGCAGAAGGAAGAAGGCCGAGCGACCTGGCACACCTAATGGAGCTCAGAATCTTCTCGTCGACCTTTGACAAATCCATCGCACCACCTTGGAACAGCAAAAAGGGGACCAAGAACGAAACCCCAGAGCTCTCAGTGCCCTCGCTCAAATGGCCATTGAACACAAGCGGATTCGCCAAAACGCTGCCGAAGGGAGATAGATTCAGCTGCATTTCAATTCGAACCATGGAAAATGACTAACCCAATTTTCAATCACTTAAAATTAGATCGAGAGAGAGAGAGAGAGAGAGAGAGAGTATACTGTCTAGATAAAAAATAATCAAGCAATCACGATCTTCCTAGGGTTGGGAAAAGCAAAGAGCAGGGAGAAATAAGGAGAAGCCCTCCAGATACCCAAAAAAGGAAACGATTTCTAGGGTTTGATGAGGTGTGCAGGCTGTCGGACTTGCTGTGGAGTTTTTTTTTTTCCAAAGCTATGGCTGCGAAATGGAGGCGCGGCCAGGGTTTTTTGCATAAATATATAACCTTTCATAACTAATCAAAAGCTTACAAATGTCAAGTAAGAACATACTCAAAATAATGAATTTCGCGGTACATATTTCAATTAACAAACCACAAATAAAGTGGAATTCAAATTGATAAACCGGCAGAGGAAAATGCATTAACATTTTCATGCCATCCTCCTTGATGACAACATTCATGGGTATGAGATTTCATAGAAACAGATAGTGAAATGGGGGAGAAAATACAGTTGCTTCTATTTTGAAGTAGGATTTACACAACTTGTTCAGTCTGCAATTTACCTGTCCAGTCTATAGTGCGTGTGTGTCTTCTTAAGCTCACCATTGTTGATTCCCAGCTCAGTGCAAAGAGCTCACTTGCCTGCCTGGCTTTTCTGATGACGTATCGCGATAATCCTTCAATAAGCCAAGCAAATTATGTTGTTGCAAATGTGTATTTCACTTTCAAGTGAGAATGACTTGACAATTAAATTGTCATAAACCAAATACATCAAACTATTAAATAATTTGGAACAATGCCTTTTAAACCATGAATATTTACTGTGGAGAAATTAGAAGTTGAAATAAGCGGAAAACAACATAGGTAAGAGGAGAAAATTCAAAGAATGTTGTGATCAAAATAAGAACTCGGTTGAAAGTTCAACAGAAAGATCAATGGAAAATGCACTCACATACCAACTTGAAAGAAAACGTAGTGTTGAATGATTGTGCTAGGAATAGAAAAATGTAAACTATATATATAACGTTACACAGAAAGTGAAGATTTACCTAACAGCAAAGCAAACGGAATACAACTGGAGTTACTGCAAGAGTGACAGAGAGGGAGAGAGATGAAAGATGATGAATAGTTAAAGCTATAATTTTTCTTAGCATGTCCTACAAACTGAATTATTTAGCTATCACATTGACATACTTGAAATGAACACTATGCAGAAACGTGCTATTAAAAATAAGAGATGCAATACCACCAAAATCCATGATCATTATCCAAAACTCCAAAGTAAACATAAAATCAAATTAACACCTCTCTATTTCTAATCTCTCTCCCTGATATTTTATATTGTGATAAGGTTTAAACTAAATAATGGTTTCACCAAAATTTAATAATAAAAGCACGGTAGAAGTTTAACATGAGAGAAGTCATTCCATGCTACAGAGGAAGAAGCACCAATTTTGTACTATTTTTATTGTCAATACAAAGTATGTAGACAAATTTTTAGGGTACATGTTTTCACACAGATTCCTTCTGCAAGCATCCTACAAAAGCCCTACTGCATTAGCGCAATCATTTAAGGCAAATATATTATAGTTAATCCAAAAAGAAGTAATTACAAAGATTCTTAACAAATTAGCCATCAAGAGAAGGCCATGCATTAAACAAAAGATCAAAACTCGAAAGCATACACGATATAGCAAATGAAGATCAAAATTACCTATGACTCCTTCAGCAAAATTACCTATGAGCTCACAATAACCAATCAACCTCACTAAATTGATTCATACAGTGAACACGGCCAATTGCTTCCACTTTGACCTTAAACTCCTTCTCATGCCAAATTCCCCACTACAAAGCTCATGCAGCAATTAGAACAAAAATAGTACAATATCCCAAAATCCATGAAAAATCTAACAAATTTAACTAAATCCCCAAACAAAAGGTCTCAAATTTCCCAACTGGGTTCTTAGTGAACATGATTATAAAGGGGATTTTGTTTGCATATATTGCACTAAATACTAACCTTTTAAAGCACAAATAAATGCGAAAACGAAATATTACCTTTTATTCAGTAACTGACCTTTCCTTTTTTTGTCTTTATTTACCAACTGGGTTCCCCCGGCTAAAGGTTTCAAGTACATTTCAACATCCGTCTCTGCTTGGTTTTCTCTGTGGGCCGCCACTCCGAGCCGGGCTGTAGCGGTGATCGTCCTAGCTGCTGGAGAAGCAGTGCTGGGCTCTGGTGGAGGGTTTTGAGTCGGCAACCTGGTCAGGGTGGCTTTGGTGGTTAATGGGTTTCGATGGGGCCATCGCGTATAGAGAGGGAAAAAATGATTGCCTGCTTCTGAACAACTGGGTTGTTCTGAATGGCCCCGTCAAGTACCCCAAGCATCCATTTTTCTTGTACCTGCATCACCATGATCAAGCTCTCCTATAACCGCAGCAATTCCCCCAAGCTTGTTCAAATCTGACCCTAAATCATTAAAAAAAAAAAATTCAACATAAAAAGAAAAGGTCAGTACCTATGATTCGAGTTCACTCTGCTCAGGGTCACCGACACTGTTAAGGTTATTCATCATTGCTCGATCACTCTTGTTAATTTTCTTTTTCGTATCGTTTTGTTTCGGCTTTTCTTTAACAGCGTAGGCACACAAAACCAATCAAATTCATTCACCTACTTACGCAACAAAAGCATGAATATTTTGTTTCAGATTTCAATCCCAAAAAAACAGAACCAGTCAAATTCATTCACCAATTGATGCACAAAGCACACAACTTCGAAACTCAATCCCTATTATTGCACACAAATTCCTGACTTTTAACACAAAACCCACCTCCAATTCCACATAGCAAAAACTGGGCAATCAATAATTTCAATCAGAAATAAAACTCTAACACAATTATAACCGAGACAACTCTAATCACATATTACAAAAGTTTCAAAAAGAAAAAAAAAATCGATAGATAGAAAGTGGATGTACCTGTAATACGGAACTGGCGAAAGTACACAAAGATTTGTGCTTTGCTGCTCAAAATTGTAGAGTGAGAGAGAGAGAGAGAGAAAGTACCCAAAACCAAAATCTATCGGGGTTGAGAATTTGGAATTTATTAGAATTAAGGATCCATTAATACAACTGTGCCTCGGTCCAATACTATTTTTTTCATTCGGCCTAAAATAGAACCATGCCTCAGTCCAATACAACCATCCAGCAAATAACCCAATGGCAGATTTGTAAAAAAGTGTAATCAAACCCAATTCATTGTTTAGTTGAACAGTGCAATTGGATTTTCTACTGTAGAGTAATTAGCAAAAATTGCGTGCGCAACGTTACGGGTTTTAAAAGCATGTAAATGATACTATTGCTTGCGCACACACAAAAGATCAGACTGTTGTCTTATTTACGTGCAAAGAAGATTAGACCAACAAAGTTCTTGTGGCTTTGGATCAACAATGGTACCAACATATAATGAAACATTGTTCTATTTACATGCAATTTTTCCATTTATTTACCTTCAGAAAATTAGAATGATAATAAAAATGCTTAAAACTATTCAAAGATCATATGCCAGCTTGAAATTATATATACTGAAACTTAGTTTTGGGTTGGCACTGTTTATTTATAGTGAGCGGGCAGAAATGCCCTTAGTTTCTTCTCTGTTCCCAGTTCTCTTGCCTCCTTGGTACAATGAAATGACAGTTTTGTCCATCTTGGCCATGCATCTATCAGCGTTGAAGCCTCTACTTCGATGGTGTCTTCTCGATTTTTCTTTCAGTTTCCACTTCTCTCTTACAAATCTCTGTTTTTGTCTCTTTCGAACTAGCCCTCCCTCGCTCTCAATTTCCTCCCCTTCACTGATAATCTGAAACGAATGATACTCAGAGTTCCCCATCACCCAACTCCATTCGAAAACCTTCTTGGAGCGACTTCTCCTCACCAAGCAGCCACTGTGCTCCAGATCTTTCCAGTTGAAATTCCTCTTCTTCACCCGTCCATGTTGAATTTCACATCAACATTGGAATCAAGTTTTCCGACTATTCCGGCGACTTTCTAACTAATATTATATGCATAGTTTATGTTGTAGGATCCAAGATAACTACAGAAGTATGTAGAACCCTACTATGGTCGCATCTTTCTAACTAATGTCATTTTCTGTAGCTTTCTTCCTTGCTTTTGGATTTAGGACTTAACATCTGTGAAGCACATGTCTTCTCGACAACCGATGGCTACTCTTTAGATGTATTTGTGGTGGATGGATGGATGGTCTGTTGAGGTAGTTTTCTTTTACTATGTAACGTGTTTATCATCATTCATTGTGTATTGGGTTTTGTTTTCCAATTACAGGAGTCCTTTTATCCTTATTGTATCTTTTGTCAATAATTTTAGTTGTTTTCATACATGCCATGCTTTAATCATTAGTCAGTGGATTTTACCTCTTTAATTTCTCTGATAATGGGGATGGTTTCGATGACATCTTTCGAGGATACCAATAAGCAAAACCATTTAATTGATCAAATTGGGTGTGAAAAATCAAATTTTGGCTAAACAGAGAGTGACAGAACACACACGCATTCTCTTCTATGGACGTTTCCCTGACTCCAAATGCTTTTATGCGTATTTTAGTCCTTGCTAATTAAGATTTCTGGTTTATCTTCCCTGCACTTTATATTTTTGTACTTTTTTTTCTTTCAAAATCTAATGAAGCAAAAAACCCAACTATTCAGACTTTCAAAATTCAATAATAGTATAGAAAATAAGAAACAACTGACCTTTTCTATATGAAACCTCAATAGGACGTTCATAGCATGTGAAGCTTAATTTTGCTTGCAACTATTAGAAGGCTAAGAGTTAAAGCAATTCAAGTTTCATATAAAACCATTGTCACTCTATCTCTCTCTCTCTCTCTCTCTCTCTCTCTATGCATTGGTATATTACGTCTGTCTACTTTGCTTTTACTTACCCTTCTCTTTTCCCTTATCAATAAAATTTTTACTGATGGCAATTGTTAAATGTTACCAGGGTAAGAAAGGGATCGCCGATTTGAAATCAGCACTTCAAGTAAACATAAGAAAGAGATTTTTTTTTGCACAAAGTTGAAAAGGATTTAGCAGCTGTGACGGACTAATTTTTGGAAACGTAGACGAGCATATTCACCTAGGGTGAGTGGACTCTTCTGCTTTTGCTTTTTCTTTTGCTTCTCTTTTCATTCCCTTATGATTTCGAATCTCCCTATGCCTATGGTTGGGATATTATGTCCAATGAGCTTATAATTTGAAAGTTCCCAATATTTGGTCTCTGGATAATTCAATCTGGAAGCATTATACATGTTTGTTTTTGAATAAAATTGTAGCAATTGTGAGTGATATAATTCATGTCCCTGGAAGAGATCTTATTATAGTTTTTTCAAGGATTTGGGACAGATTCACTTTTCCATATCATGTGGGGTATTTGGAAAACCTGTACTTGGAAGTGACCTTTTTATGGTTTTTCACAAAGATTTGGGACATTAATATCACTTTCTCATATGGTTCTTTACTAATAAGAATCTGTAGCGCAGGGTATTTGATAAGCATCACAATGGATTCATTTGACATCTAATCTCTCACCTTAACCCCATTGTATTATATCTATATGAATAGCTTTGTGATATATTATACAAATACTATCTTTTGTTTCTTATTGAACATAAATATGTAAATAAATTTTGATATGGACGTAAATAGATTTTAATATATTTCACATGTTTAACACAATTTTAAAACCCGTGGCATCGCGCGGGCTCAATTGCTAGTAGAAAAACTAAACTTTGAATTCAAAACAATTTACATGTGGAATAATTTGAAATGCCTCAAAACGTTATCATGATCCAATTGTATACGAAAGGCTATCCAGCTATTGCCAAGAAGTACGTTGTCAATGATCCTTCACTATTCATGGTAAGGAACACCAGATACAACTTATAAAACTCCAACGCAGATACATAACCAGCAACATCATCACGTTGCCGTATAATAATACTTGTGAACTTTATCTCCACATCAGAATCAACTTTAAAACTATCTTTGCTTAATTTGTTCAGTATATCAGAAGTAGCCATATATCTGAAATCCTGTAGTAAAGCATAGTCGTTTTCCAGAGTTCAACAACACAATACCCAAGCATATAAGATTTAAGATACTCAGATCCAGATTAAAGGTGAATTGACATTAAATGAATACCAATTTTCACACATTTTTACACCGACCAAAGCATAGTCGTTTTCCAGATTGGACAAATATGCAGGTACACCAAGAACATCACCCTTGCCTGCTACACGCAAGTCATGGCCATCAACACCAACACCGAGAGCCACAGGGGCATCACCAGCTAGAACTCCTGTTGGGGTCTCTTCTACCAGCACTACCCCAACCCGTCAAAAACCCAAGCCAACACCACCCAGCGCTAAAGTGGAAAGACCCCCACAGCGACAGAGGAATGTGAAGGAATCCGTGATTACTAATGACAGGAGCTCGAAGGAAGTAAATGAGAAGCAGCAGCAAGCAGTGAAAAAGAGTGGTAAAACAACAAAACCTAAAGTAGTGACAACCTCTGGTGATTATTCTGATATAATTCCAGCAAAGCACAACAAGGTGACCAAGAAGAGCAGTGTAGTGCCAGTGGAATCAAAACCATTTCTTCAGAAGGGTATTCGAACGAGCCCTGGTGTTGGTCCTGTTGTTAACAAGACAAGAACTTCTCAATCGGAGGAATCTTATAGAAACAGCACAAATATATTGAAACCCAAGAGGATGAGGTGATTGGCAGCGCTTCTGATCCTGTGACGCATCAACACCCAGATATTGTGTCAGTCGGCCTTTCAAATGATGCTGTGGATCCAGAAGCTCTGGTAAATGATAGCCTGATGTGTGGTGAGACGCAACATGTTGACCCAGTTTCTCCTGATCGTAATGATAACTTAAAAAATGTTGCAGAACCGTCATTGCAAGTTCAAGCTGAAGAAGAATCAACCATCTCCCCAAGTGCTTGGGTAGAAATAAAGGAGCATCAGGCCATGTCCCCATGTAACAACGGCTCATCTCAAGTAACCACTTCAGCCAATGTTGCTCCAGCTGGACTGTCAAGTCCTCGTGTCCGTCATTCTTTGTCCCAGATGCTGCAAGAAGAAAGTAACGAACCAGATAATATTGAGTGGGGAAATGCTGAAAATCCTCCTGCCATTGTGTTCCAAAAGGATGCACCGAAAGGACTGAAGAGGCTCTTAAAATTTGCTTGGAAGAGCGACAGAGATGCCAATTCGACTGGTTGGTCTAGTTCGTCAGTTTTCTCTGAAGGAGAGGATGATGCTGACAGTGTACTCAGAAAGTCTTCGCTTCATACAAGGAAGCATGAACCGTACTCTAGTAAGCTTCCTGTTTTTGTTAGAATTTCGTCCGGCCTTTGTGTCTTTTTCTCCTCATGTTAATAATCATTTTGGATTTGTGCATGCATCTCAATCAAATATTAGCAGATTTGATGGGCGTTGTTCACACAAGTTACAAGAGAACCGCGATGCAGCTGCAGGACCTGCAACTAAAGGTTGTCTTTCCACCTGATGAGTACACACAGTATGGTTTTTTGTGATTTATTTATTTTCCAGCAAATTTTTTGTACACCTGCATACAGAATTTCAACGCGCCATTTCTAATTCGCTTGATTAAGATTCCAATACTCTCTACTATCTGTGTTTCAGCTGCAACAAGGTCACTCTTCTCTCTTTCAGCGTTTAGAGGCAGCAAACCAAATGAGATGAAGTTTCACGAGCATTTCAAAGCTGCATAGCAATTGGGTTTTCTCGTGGAAGAGAGAGAGGTGTTACGTGAATTAGTACGAAGAAGAGGGAGAGAGTACTGCAAAGAAGGGGAAAGAGGAGAGAGAACAAAAGAAATCGAGGGGTAAAATTGTAAATGAAAAATAATTAAAAATACAACCACGAAATAATGTGAATTATGTGAGTTTGCTGATAGTTAATTAATAGGTAACTAATTCCTAAACCATTTTCACACATTTTTCATGTCTTAATTTTATATTGGATTTTTTTTTTTTGAAGAAAACCTCGGCGGTACAAGGGATATTTTATTGATAATGAAAAAAAAGGTTACACCTAGTCAGAGGGGGGACATAAACCTTACCCCTGATAATGCCAAGAAAAGAAGAAAAACAAAATTGAGTAAGAAGGAGGGACATAAACCTTACCTCTCTAGAAACGAAAACACAAACGATACAAGGAAGAGGGGACATGAAACCTAATCCCTCTAAAACCAAACCTGAAAGAAAAATACGATGAAACAAGAGGATGAAATTTGACAAAATCATACAACACAACCATACTGGCGTATTCGTCACAGCAAGGAAAATGCCAACAAACTTACTCAAAAGTACAACACAAAGCTAAACATATTCAACAATTACATGATACATCTTAAGCACCATCATATTCAGCAACTGTGAAAGAAGAGTGCTCCATGGCATGTTTACCAGCAAAGAACCAAGCACAATCCAAAACCCCGTGAAGAATCCGACTCCCAGGCTCACGTAGAACCACTTGTCTTCAAGTAAACTGTATCCTCCTCCTCCATCTTGCTCAGCCGTTGGTGGCGGTATCACCCCATTCGCACTGCAATTCTTGTTGAGTGGAGCTCCGCATAGTTCGTTGCCGACGAAGCTAGACTGATCAAGGCTCTGCAGCTGAGTGCTTTCCGGAATTCGTCCCATCAAATTGTTGTAGGACAAGTTTAAGTGACTCAGAAATGTCAAATTCGTCATACTTGGAGCAATTTCACCATCAAGTTGGTTCATGGAAAAATCGAGAGACTCTAACCGTTCCATATTACCAATCTTTGAAGGAATTCTTCCGGTGAAACAATTATTTGATAAATTGAGTGACTGCAATGCGAGGAGGTCAGTAAGTTCTTCAGGGATCTCTCCATACAAAAAGTTGCATGAAAGATCCATGCTTTTTACAAATTTCAGAATCTTGGTATATTCCATTTGTATCCCTTTCGTTACCAAGATTGCATTCTCTGGAACTGAATAATACTCATCAAAAGCACCGCTCCTAAGCATTGTTGAAGAAAATGATTTTGACAAATTAGCCATGGCGCTCAAATTGTGGAAGCATCTCGGTATCGTTCCAGAGAGTTTATTATGTGCAAGGTCCAATATCTGAAGACTTTCCAAATAACAGATTCCAGAAGGAATGTCTCCTTCAAACTCATTCGAACGAAGGTTAAGAACCTTCAAACCTGAAAGGCTTTTACCCATCCATATTGGTATGCTTCCGACAAACCCATTTCCACTAAGGTCAACAACTGACAACAGGGCACAGTTCCGTAAGGAATGTGGGAATTCTCCGTACAGGTGATTATTGCGCAAGTGCAGCGAGGTCAGATATGGCAAGTATCCCATGGACATTGAGACATTCCCAGTTAGGTAGTTGTTTTCTAAATTTAGGACTATCAAGGATTGCCAACTCATCCAACAGTCGGGTAATTTTCCAGTGAGAAGATTATTCCCGAGATAAAGAACAGAAAGAAACGTTGGTTCATCCGGCCTATCACAGAAGAAGTGGAAAACAGTTCCAGAAAATGATGAATTGGAAAGATCTAGCCAAATTAATGAGGTGGGAGCAATAGGCAATGCACCAGTGAATTGGTTAGAACCAAGATCAACTACTGAACCAGGAGCAGCAATTATATTTTGAATCTCCCCGTACAATTGATTGTGAGAGAGATTCAGATAACCTAATTGGAATGTTAAGTTCCAAAACCAAGTTGGAATAGTACTTGAAATTCCTGTACGAGATAAGCTTAGATCTGTTAACTGTGTTTGTGTCTGAAGCCACATTGGCCATTCAGGTCCCAGATGCCATGAATCCAATTGTAAACTTTCAAGTTGAAAAGGAGGAAGCCAATCTCGACTAGTTTTCAGAGTAAATGAGTTTCCTTTTGCAATGAAATACTTCAATTTTGTATGGTTACCAAAAGAATCTTCCGACATCACACCTTCGAACGAATTATAAGATATATCCAAATCTGTTAGCATTTTGAGTTTACCAATAACTTCTGTGAAAGTTCCATTAAACTGATTTCTAGATATATCTAGTTCTACTAAGCTTGACAGGTTTCCCAGGGACATTGGAATGGGACCTGATATTGAATTACATGAAAGATCAAAGTGCCTTAAACTTTTAAGGTTTCCAATGGAACTCGATAGTTCACCACGTAAGGCATTGCGAGAAAGAAGCAAGGACTCGAGATTGTTCAAGCTATACAACCATTCAGGTATGGTAGAATTGAATTCGTTCCTCCCGAGATTAAGAACTTTAAGACAAGTCATATTCTGAATATTGCTTGGAAGTTGTCCTGTAAGTTGATTGGCTTCTAGACTCAATTTAAGGAATTTTTGGTTAAACAACCATTTGGGAATCGGATCAAGACTAATAGAATTGTATGACAAATCAAATTCCCTCAAAGATGTGGTATTCTGTGAAATGCTAAGAATTGGACCTTGGAAACCACAACCACTGAGATGAAGAGAAACTAGATTTTTAAGACTGAAAACCCACCTCGGCATCAAAGAATAAAAACTGTTACCAGAAAGATCAAGGACAACCAGGGAAGTAAAATTTGTGGTGGGTAGAGGGGGAATTTGATGAAGTTCACAATGGGACATATCTAACTCTACCAAAGAAGGGAGCATGTTTGTAACTTGCAACCAGTCAGATGCTTTGCCAAGATTTACATAACTTAAGTCGAAGTGTTTCAGCATAGAAAGACCAGAAATCCACTGAAGGTTTTCAACCTCCAGAATGTTACTACTGAGATTGAGATAGCGTAGACTGGAGAGATTTCCCAGCTTATGAGGAATTATTCCATAAAACTGTGAGTGTCCAAGATTAAGGTGCGTTAAACTTGTCATAGAACCAAAGAAACTAGGAATTCGTGTTGTACTGAAATCATTGTGACTCAAGTCCAAGTAGTTGAGATGCTTTAAACTGAGCAAAGAAGGATTTATCTTACCACTTAACAAGTCGGAATCCCATTCAGAGTGGGAACTATTCAGGTGCAGCTCGTGGATATGGCCAGTTATGTGATCACAGACAACTCCTGTCCAACTGCAACAGTCTGAACCTTCTTCTGCAACCCACGACGAAAGCCGATTGGCAGGGTCCTTGAGATCTTGCTTGAACATCAGAAGTGCATCTCTTTCGCTTTCTTTGCAAAGCGGAGGCCAACCGGGAATTCCATTGCATAAACCAATACTGAAAGTAATGGTTGTAACAGCTAGAACCCTGATTAGTAGTAAAACAACTCTCATGCTTCTCTCCATAAAGTTTTAGTGTATGAAGTAGTGATGTGTACGAGCAATAAACCATCCAGAGTAGTGCTAGCTATATATACTAGGGAGCCACACTTTTTCTAAACCACCCTCTACGACATGAGCACTTTTTCTAAACCATCCTCTACGACAAACCACCCTCTACGGCATGAGATTGAGACCGCATTTTCTAACACATCAATGAGAGCAGTAGTCGGACAGAGTCTAGGAATCTTTGACAAAAGTTTCATAGATGATAAGATGGAATAATTACTTTCTTTGAATGGTGGGTCCTTAAAAAAATTAATTTCTTTGATTGATGTGATATTTATTGAGATATAATATTCCTACCTAAACAGGGCTAAATGTGCAGGTAGAAAGAGTAATACATTTTACCTCTTAAGTTTTGGTACAATTACAACCTCATACGATATTTTTATAACATTTCAATGTCATATATTTACTCATAACTAAAAAATGTGCCCACACTTTGCTAAGGGTGTTGATTGTGTTAGTCACAATATGCATGAATAGTTTCCACACAAAGCAACTAAAAAGACGTCTTAGTACTTAAGAACCAATGAAGTCAAACTTTGCTTGCCATATATGGATAGCTATAAGAAATATTCATTTGTAGATCGTATTGTGTCATCAATATAATAGTTTCAAGTAATCAGCCTACTACATGGAGGAGAAACATAGAAAGAGGAAAAAAGAAAAGCAGAAGACATAATACTTGAGCATCTCGCAAGAATAGTAAGTTTCTGAAAAAATTGCTCAACCCTGTTACAAATTCAATCGTCAAACGTTATATTGTAACCCAAAACAAAGATAAAGTACATGGTTTGTTTACAAATCAAAACAAAGTGCTGCTATAATCCGCAACAACTATGAATCATTTCCACATAAAGATACTCAAATTTAACGGCACATCGAATAATCATCAAGCAAAACAAAATACGCCATGTGCTAACGCGAAACCAAAACAAAAGGAGGATTAAATATCGAAAATTTTCCGTAAGGCATATATTCACAAAATGCTTCTTAATGTGGTCTTCCAAGAAATGAATGCAGCTCCAAAACAACTCAGAAAACACCTTAGAAATCTTTATCACCCCAATCTTACTAAATGGAAGCATATATGGATAGGATAGCTCCCGAATTTTGTAACAGAAACTCTTCCAAAGGCCCTGATTTTTCTTGGCATAACTCTGTACATTGCAAGTTTAATTCCAACGAGACAAATACGCGTGTAAAGTAAAAAGCATCAACGCTACATGTACTGCTTTACAATCATCTCAAGTTGCTGACACAATGCCTAGAATATTAAAGACTCAAGAACATCTCACCAAAACAATAACCGCGGTTGTGGTACTTGAATCAAGCAAGCAGATGCTTTGCAAGGCTGCCTTCAATATCATCTCATATTCCCTTTTCGTTCTTCCTATATGATACAATAAACCATTCAAATTCAGTTCATGTGGAATTGGGGGAAAGAAAAGGTTCAAAACTCTAATCATCCAAATAGAACCTATTATGTTAAAATGGTTCTTGAATATGGTCAGCAACGGTGTTTGCAAAGAAACACGGTGTTAACTCTCATGTATACGATGCTACACATTCAACGATTAGATTCGATTGAATACCATTTTCTTGGGATGAAGAGCTGGGTGTTGATTCCCACCTCGTTTTGCATCTTGTTGATTAAGATTATAACCTAGAATCCAAAATCAAACAATCATAGAAACATATATGAGAATTTACACGAATAGGCAAGGATTTTAAAGATTCGGAATGTAATGAAGAGAGGAAAACATGCTTATATGGATAACAAGATCAAAGAAATTGCAAAAACCAAATGGGGAAAATTACAGAACATGGGTATTTCCTAATACTCTGTCATGTTTTCAATTCAAATTTTTCTGGGCATACAAAATGAAGCTTATGGAATGAAGAGTAGAATTATTACCCTTGCAAGACCGAAAGTGGTTGCAAAAGCTTGAAAAACCACTTGCCAACCTAAAAAAATAAAATCGCCAAACGAAAGGAAACCCATTAAACCCACATTCCAATTCAACCAAAATTCAAAATTCACCTCAAATTAGATCAACAGAAAGAGAAACAGGGGAAAACCTAAATGCATGATGTCGACACTGTCGATGTCATCACCTGAAAAGGTATGTATTATATGTTTGTTAATTTCTACAACTAAAATCAAAATCAAATACCAACATACTTCCTCATGCGTTATGTTTTGCAAAAATTCAAATGACAATGTATAAAAAAACATAATTATACAGTAGCAACTCTTCATAGAATTCTTCCTCTATCTCCTCCACTTGTTGACCATGATGTCTGCTTCCATATATTGAGCTCAATTCTTCAGAGCTCGATGAGAGACTAAACCTTTGATGTGGAGGCAGTCCAGTAATTACAAAGATTCTTAACAAATTAGCCATCAAGAGAAGGCCATGCATTAAACAAAATATCAAAACTCGAAAGCATACACGATATAGCAAATGAAGATCAAAATTAACTATGACTCCTTCAGCGAAATTACCTATGAGCTCACAATAACCAATCAACCTCACTAAATTGATTCTTACAGCGAACACGGCCAATCGCTTCCACTTTGACCTTAAACTCCTTCTCATGCCAAATTCCCCACTACAAAGCTCATGCAGCAATTCGAACAAAAATAGTATAGTATCCCAAAATCCATGAAAAATCTAACAAATTTAACTAACTCCCCAAACAAAAGGTCTCAAATTTCCCAACTGGGTTCTTAGTGAACATGATTATAAAGGGGATTTTGTTTGCATATATTGCACTAAATACTAACCTTTTAAAGCACAAATAAATGCGAAAACGAAATATTACCTTTTATTCAGTAACTGACCTTTCCTTTTTTTATCTTTATTTACCAACTGGGTTCCCCAGGCTAAAGGTTTCAAGTATATTTCAACATCCGTCTCTGCTTGGTTTTCTCTGTGGGCCGCCACTCCGAGCCGGGCTGTAGCGGTGATCGTCCTAGCTGCTAGAGAAGCAGTGCTGGGCTCTGGCGGAGGGTTTTGAGTCGGCAACCTGGTCAGGGTGGCTTTGGTGGTTAATGGGTTTCGATGGGGCCATCGCGTATAGAGAGGAAAAAAATGATTGCCTGCTTCTGAACAACTGGGTTGTTCTGAATGGTCCCGTCAAGTACCCCAAGCATCCATTTTTCTTGTACCTGCATCACCATGATCAAGCTCTCCTATAACCGCAGCAATTCCCCCAAGCTTGTTCAAATCTGACCCTAAATCATTAAAAAAAAAAAATTCAACACAAAAAGGAAAGGTCAGTACCTATGATTCGAGTTCACTCTGCTCAGGGTCACCGACACTGTTAAGGTTATTCATCATTGCTTGATCACTCTTGTTAATTTTCTTTTTCGTTTCGTTTTGTTTCGGCTTTTCTTTAACAGCGTAGGCACACAAAACCAATCAAATTCATTCACCTACTTACGCAACAAAAGCATGAATATTTTGTTTCAGATTTCAATCCCAAAAAACAGAACCAGTCAAATTCATTCACCAATTGATGCACAAAGCACACAACTTTGAAACCCAATCCCTATAATAGCACACAAATTCCTGACTTTTAACACAAAACCCACCTCCAATTCCACATAGCAAAAACTGGGCAATCAATAATTTCAATCATAACTAAAACTTTAACACAATTATAACCGAGACAACTCTAATCACATATTACAGTTAAAAAAAAAAAAAAAAAAAAAAAAAAAAAAAAAAAAAGATCAATAGATAGAAAGTGGATGTACCTGTAATACGGAACTGGCAAAAGTACACAAAGATTTGTGCTTTGCTACTCAAATTTGTAGAGTGAGAGAGAGAGAAAGTACCCAAAACCAAAATCATGTCAGGGTTGAGAATTTGGAATTTATTAGAATTTAGGATCCATTAATACAACTATGCCTCGGTCCAATACTTTTTTTTTAATTCGGCCTAAAATAGAACTACGACTCAGTCCAATACAACCATCCCGCAAATAATCTAATGGCAGATTTGTAAAAAAGTGAAATCAGACCCAATTCATTGTTTGGTTGAACAGTGCAATTGGATTTTCTACCGTAAGGTAATTAGCAAAAATTGCATGCGCAATGTTACGGGTTTTAAAAGCATGTAAATGATACTATTGCTTGCAGACACACAAAAGATCACAGACTGTTGTTTTATTTACGTGCAAAGAAGATTAGACCAACAAAGTTCTTGTGGCTTTGGATCAACAATAGTACCAACATATAATGAAACATTGTTCTATTTACATGTAATTTTTCTATTTATTTACCTTCAGAAAATTTGAATGATAATAAAAATGCTTAAAACTAGTCAAAGATCATATGCCAGCTTGAAATTATATATACTGAAACTTAGTTTTGGGTTGGCACTGTTTATTTATAGTGAGCAGGCGGAAATGCCCTTAGTTTCTTCTCTGTTCCCCTTTCTCTTGCCTCCTTGGTACAGCGAAATGACAGTTTAGCCCATCTTGGCCATGCGTCTATCAGCATTGAAGCCTCTGCTTCGACGATGTCTTCTCGATTTTTCTTTAGATTTCCACTTCTCTCTTACAAATCTCTGTTTTTGTCCCTTTTGAACTAGCCCTCCCTTGCTCTCAATTTCCTCTCTTTCACTGATAATCTGAAACCAATGATACTCAGAGTTCCCCATCACCCAACTCCATTCGAAAACCTTCTTGGAGCGACTTCTCCTCACCAAGCAGCCACTGTGCTCCAGATCTTTCCAATTGAAATTCCTCTTCTTTACCTGTCCATGTTGAATTTCACATCAACATTGGAATCGAGTTTTCTGACGATTCCGGCGACTTTCTAACTAATATTATATGCATTGTTTATATTGTAGGATTTAAGATAACTACAGAAGTACGTAGAACCCTACTATGGTTGCATCTTTCTAACTAATGTCATTTTCTATAGCTTTCTTCCTTGCTTTCGGATTTAGGACTTAACATCCGTGAAGCACATGTCTTCTCGATAACCGATGGCTACTCTTTAGATGTATTTGTGGTGGATGGATGGATGGTCTGTTGAGGTAGTTTTCTTTTACTATGTAACGTGTTTATCGTCATTCACTGTGTATTGGGTTTTGTTTTCCAATTACAGGAGTTCTTTTATCCTTATTGTATCTTTTGTCAATAATTTTAGTTGTTTTCATACATGCCATGCTTTAATCATTAGTCAGTGGATTTTACCTTTAATTTCTCTGATAATGGGGATGGTTTTGATGACATCTTTCAAGGATACCAACAAGCAAAGCCATTTAATTGATCAAATTGGGTGTGAAAAATCAAATTTTGGCTATGGTTGAGGTAAACATGAACAGAGAGTGACAAAACACACACGCATTCTCTTCTATGGACGTTTCCTGACTCCAAATGCATTTATGCGTATTTTAGTCCTTGCTAATTAAGATTTCTGGTTTATCTTCCCTGCACTTTATATTTTTGTACTCTTTTTTTTCAAAATCTAATGAAGCAAAAAACCCAACTATTCAGACTTTCAAAATTCAATAATAGTATAGAAAATAAGAAACAACTGACCTTTCTATATGAAACCTTACTAGCACGTTCATAAGCATGTGAAGCTCAATTTTGCTTGCAACTATTACAAGGCTAAGAGTTAAAGGAATGCAAGTTTCATATAAAACCATTCTCTCTCTCTCTCTCTCTCTCTCTCTCTCTCTCTCTCTCTCTCTGCATTGGTTTGTTATGTCTGTCTACTTTGCTTTTACTTACCCTTCTCTTTTCCCTTATCAATAAAATTTTTACTTACCAGGGTGAGAAAGGGATCACCGATTTGAAATCAGCACTTCAAGTAAACATAAGAAAGAGATTTTTTTTGCACAAAGTTGAAAAGGATTTAGCAGCTGTGACAGACTAATTTTTGGAAACGTAGACAAGCATATTCACAAAGGGTGAGTGGACTCTTCTGCTTTTGCTTTTTCTTTTGCTTCTCTTTTCATTCCCTTATGATTTCGAATCTCCCTATGCCTATGGTTGGGATATTATGTCCAATGAGCTTATAATTCGAAAGTTCCCAATATTTGGTCTCTGGATAATTGAATTTGGAAGCATTATACATATTTGTATTTGAATAAAATTGTAGCAATTGTGAGTGATATAATTCATGTCCTTGGAAGAGATCTTATTATAGATTTTTCAAAGCTTTGGGACTTTCATATCATGTGGGGTATTTGGAAAATCTGTACTTGGAAGTGACCTTTTTATGGCTTTTCACAAAGATTTGGGACAATAATATCACTTTCTCATATGGTTCTTTACTAATAAGAATCTGTAGTGTAGGGTATTTGATAAGCATCACAATGGATTCATTTGACATCTAATCTCTCACCTTAACCCCATTGTATTACAACTATATGAATAGCTATGTGATATATTATACAAATACTATCTTTTGTTTCTTATTGAACATAAATATGTAAATAAATTTTGATATGGTCGTAAATAGATTTTAACATCTTTCACATGTTTAACACAATTTTAAACCCATGGGCTCAATTGCTAGTTCAAAAACTAAACTTTGAATTCAAAACAATTTACATGTGGCATAATTTGAAATGCCTCGAAACGTTATCATGATCCAATTGTATACGAAAGGCTATCCAGCTATTGCCAAGAAGTGGCCATATATCAGAAGTAGCCATATATCTGCAATCCTGTAGTAAAGCATAGTCGTTTTCCAGAGTTCAACAACACAATACCCAAGCATATAAGATTTAAGATACTCAGATCCAGATTAAAGATGAATTGACCCATTAAATGAATACCAATTTTCACACATTTTTACACTGACCAATAAGGGGGCGTTTGTTTGCCCTCACTAAGTCGGACTGGACTGAACTGGACTACCTATTAGTCCAATACTGTGTTTGTTCCATGCTGGGACTAACATTAATGAGACTAAAGGGGACTAGCATGGACAAAACCCTTCACTAAGAGGTCTTAGTGAGACCCCCCAATAACCATGGGACTAGCTAAGACTATCTTCTATTTCTCGTCCTTGTCATGCTCAACGACCACTTCCAATAGACTCCTTGTCATCTCTGGTCACCTAGATCAATCATTAACTTGCCGACTCTCTTTCAGATCCATTTCACTACCAACTTTCATATAAAATATACCAAATTGAAGCTGGGAGTGATAAGATTACGATTTTACCTTAATCGAAGCCAAAATGTGGTCGAATGTGGCCGGAAAATGGCCTGGAAGTCTCAGCCTATTTGGGCTTCTTCAAATCCATGATAGATTCTAGCATGCAAAGCTAAGATCTCGGTCCAGGGATGGTAATGAATTTTTTGGCAGTGCTAACTTCATCCAATTTAACGAGAGTTGGCCAAAAAACACATCGGGAAACCTGCAACTCATTGGGAAAATTGGAGCCGTGAGGTTCCGTTCGAATAACGCATAGCTAGAGAGCGAGGAAGGACAGAGAAATAAAAATTGGAATCAATAATGAGTTTGACCAGGAATGAGAAAGAGACATGAATTGAGAGGTCTGAGAGGAAAAAAAAGAGGGAGAGGGTGGGACAATGAGAGAAGAGGAAAAGAGTGGGACGGAAAATGTAGGAAAAGATGGAGAAAAAGATAAGATCATAATAAAATATTAATAATTTATATATTAAATAAAATAATATTAGAATTTGTTATTATCTAGCTTCTTAGTCCAATACTGCACTAAACGCTTCACTAAGTTAGTCCAGTTTAGTCTAGTCTAAGCCAGTCCAGCTTAGTCCTTGAAGCTAATCCAGTCTGAGATAGTCCGGCGCAACAAACGCCCCCTAAAAGCATAGTCATTTTCCAGATTGGACAAATATACAGGTACACCTTGTATTGATAAAGATGAAAAATTAATTTCTTTGATTGATATGATATTTATTGGGATATCATATTCCTACCTAAACTGGGCGCCAAACAAGTAAAAAGGGTACCTCTTTAAGTTTTGGTACAATTGCAACCTCATATAATATCCTTAAAGTATTTAAGTGTCATACATTTACTTATAACTAGAAAATGTGCCCATGCTCTATTGCGGGCGTCAACTGTATTAGTTGCAACAAGTATGAATAGTTTCCACACAAAGCAGCTAAAAAAACGTAGTCCCTAAGAACCAATGAAGTCAAACTTTGCTTGCCATATGGATAGCTATAAGAAACATTCATTTGTAGGCCGTATTATGCCATCAATATAATAGTTTCAAGTAATCAACCTACTACATGGAAGAAAAACATAGAAAAATGAAAGTAGAAAAGTAGAAGACATAATACTTGAGCATCTCGTGAGAATAGTAGTAAGTTTCTAAAAAAATTGCTAAACTGTCTTACAAATTCAATCGTCAAACGTTATATTGTAACCCAAGACAAAGATAAAGTATATAGTTTGTTTACAAATAAAAACAAAATGCTGCTATAATCTCCAACAACTATGAATCATTTCCACATAATGATACTCAAATTTGACGGCACATCGAATAACCATCAAGCAAAGCAAAACATGCCATGTGCTAACACGAAACTAAAACAAAAGGAGGATTAAATATCGAAAATTTTCCATAAGGCATCAATCAACAAAATACTTCTTAATGTGGTCGTCCAAGAAATGAATGCAGCTCCAAAACAACTCAGAAAACACCTTAGAAATCTTTATCACCCCAATCTTACTAAATAGAAGCATAAATGGACAAGATAGCTCCCTAATTTTGTAATAGAAACTCTAACAAAGAATATCAGGCTCCAAAGGCCCTGACTTTTCCTTAGCATAAATCTGTACATTCCAAGTTTAATTCCAACGAAACAAATACGCATGTACAGTAAAAGACATCAACGCTACATGTACTGCTTTACAATCATCTCAAGTTGCTGATACAATGCCTCAAATATTCAAGACTCAAAAATTTTCATATAAATAGAACACCTCACCAAGACAATAACCGAGGCCG